GTTACATCATCTTAGCCTCCATTTCTCCATAGCAGCAGTGTAGACAGTCTGCACAGGTGTATCCTGTTGTGGGGGTGCTCCTGGCACTCGGAGATGTTTCACAGCTCCCTGGCCTCTATCCACAAGATGCCACTAGCATCCCCACCTCTAGTCATGATATTCAAAAATGTCTCCAGACATTGCTAAGTGCCCCCTTGGGGAACAAAACCGCCCATAGTCAAGAACCAGTGACCTAAGTCCTCTTGAATAATGCACCCACTGTATGCTAAGCACCGTGCTCGGAGAGATGGGGAACAGGTATGGGCCAGTTTCTGACTGAAGAACACAGAACAGTATATAGTGCATTACACACGCATGTGTATTTTAAGATGACTGCTTCCCTGAAGCACTATAATTGCCAAATTAGAAACAAATGTGCAATACCGAATTGATTAAATGCAAGTACTTTAAAAATGGAGTATGGTTGGGGTGCCTGGGTGCCTCAGCTGGTTAAGTGTCAGACTTTAGCTCAGGTCATGATATTGTGATTTGTGAGTTTGAGTCCCGCGTTGGGGTCTATGCTGACAGCTCAGAGCCTGGAGCCTGTTTTGGATTCTGTCTCCCTCTCTGCTCCTCCCCTGCTCACACTCACTCTCTCTCAAAAATAGGTAAACATTTAAAAAAAATTATTAAAAAAACAGTATGGCGTATCCATTAAATAATGCAGATCTATTATTTATCGACAAGGAGGTACAATTCTTTTTGTTAAGTGGCAACAGAAGAGCATGGGTGGTATCGTTTTTTTAAGGACGGGACAATGCAAGGATTTCCAGTATTGATTCTGGGGATGGGATTGGGATGATTTACTTTTTTTTTCATGTTTTCTAATTTCTTAAGTTTATTTATTTATTCTGAAAGAGTGTGCGAGCGTGTGCACACAGAGGAGGGGAAGAGAGAGAGAGAGAGAAAATCCCAGGTAGGCTCCACACTGTCAGCACAGAACCCAATTTGGGGTTTAAACTCACCAACCATGAGATAATGACCTGAGCTGAGATCAAGAGTTAGATGCTTAGCTAGCTGAGTCACCCAGGTGCCCCTTGTGTTTTCTAGTTTGCATACACTAAACAGCTAGATGACCGCTGGTGGCAAGTGTGCTCTGAGCTGACTGCACCTCTCCCATAAATTTAGAAGTAACACCATTTTGGTCCCAGGTTCTTCTGTGATGAAATGGCTTGTTTGTGCCTCTGACATAAGCATTTCCTTTCAGGGAAAAGGATAAAGGCTGTAGTCTATAACCCCAAACGAAAGGTTTACTAAACACTGCTAATATCTAACTCTAAGGAGTGTGTGACCAGTTTAACAGAATACGAGAACAGGGCTGAGATTGCTGTCCACAACATAGAGATGTGCTTTTATTTAAAAATTTTTTAAAAAGTTTTTATTTATTTCAGAGAGAGAGAGAGAGAGAGAGAGAGCGAGCCCAGGAGAAGGTCAGACAGAGAGGGAGATATAGAATCTGAAACAGGCTCCAGGCTCTGAGCTGTCAGCACAGAGCTCAATGCGGGGCTCAATCCCACGAACCGCGAGATCATGACCTGAGCTGAAGTCGGGCGCTTAACCGACTGAGCCACCCAGGCGCCCCAGAGAAGTGCTTTTAAAAAGCCATTAGGAAATACTATTTTTTTTTTTTACATTTTTAATTTATTTTTGAGAGACAGAGTGTGAACTGGGGAGGGGCAGAGAGAGGAGGAGACACACAATCTGAAACAGGCTCCAGGCTCTGAGCTGTCAACAGAGCCCGACGCGGGGCTAGAACCCATGAACCGTGAGATCATGACCTGAGCCTAAGTAGTAGGACCAAGTGAGCCACTCAACTGCCCCTGGAAATACTGTTCTATATAACGCCTCGCGCTCCCACTAGTAGGTACAGCTTAAGTATTCCCAACTCTACTTTCGCTTTTTCAACCTCATGTTTCACATTTTTTGTAGCCTCTGGTTATCTAACTTGCAAAATAAAAAATGAGAAATGTATTACCCTATTTACCAAATTAGCATCAGTCTGTTTATTCTCCGAAGGCTACCATCAACAAAATGACAATGCTTTGAACTTAGTTGGGAGAAGTGTAAAAATGTTTTTTAAGTTTATTTTGATAGAGAGAGAGAGAGAGAGAGCGCGAGAGCACTAGCAGGGGAGGGGCAGCGAGGGAGAGAGAGAATCCCAAGCAGGCTCCGTGCTGTCAGCACAGAGCCCGAATCTGGGGCTTGAACTCATGAAACGTGAGATCATGACTTGAGCTGGAATCAAGAGTTGGACACAACTGACGGAGCCAGTGCGAGAAGTGTACAAATGTCAATGCTCAGTGCCACATTTGAGGATGGTACCTGCATCCAAGTTAAAGAAATGTAAGGCGTCTCTTAAATGAACAGACACTGTTAGCACCCTGAACAGGGTCATCTTCAAAGCGCCACAGAAATGGATGAGAAGTGTCTACTGTGAAGAAAATACAGCAGTCTCAACGTGGTATTCTTCTTCTATAATTTGGAACATGGACATCTTAGAAAAATGAACGATTGGTGAAAACCATTTTTGAGTTTTAGTGCCAATTTTGAGATTGAACTGTCACTTTGTCTTTCGGCAGATGGGTTCTTCTTGATGACTCCATTCGAGGGTCTGGCAGACTTCCTCAGAACACCCACCATCCACACGAAATCAGATTTCCTTTTACTCTTTGCTGGCAGTACACACTCCAGAAACACGCCCTTTGGTGCGCTCCTGACCCCGGGTCGACCCGCCGCTGGTGCCCTGGTGCCGGGAGGCCAGCAGTGTGCACCACGGGACTCTGCACAGTTCGAACACCCAGGGTGCCCTGCAGCTTTGACAGGCCAATGAGCTTTTAGATTGTGCAGATTTAAACTAAATAGCTTAGTTCCATAATCTGCCTTATTGAATCATTTAAGTCACAGTATGGTAAATGTCTCCTGCTACATGTTACAAGTTCTTTCCTAACTTAGAAAATAAAATCCCTGTTTAAGTCTTTAAAAAAATTACGGGCTTAGTTGGTGTTTTAATGGAAGGAGAGCTAAGAAGGAAAGTCCTCTCACACAAGAGGGGGTGCGAACTGGGGTTCGGTATTTGGACTAATTTATTGCACCGACCGTTAAGAGCGAACATATAACGCTCACAAGCCCGACATCACACACCCCGGCAGCCGTACACGAGAGCTGGAGGTGGATTATTTCTGTAACGGCGCCGGGGCCGCAGCGCGGGAAGGCGGGACCGCGCGCACCTCCGCCTGGGAGCCGCGCACTGCGGGGCCCAGCTCCCGGGGACAGAGCCCAGAACTCGGGGACAGAGCCCAGCCCCCGGGGACCGAGCTCAGAACTCGGGGACGGAGCCCAGCCCCCCGGGGACAGAGCCCAGAACTTGGGGACAGAGCCCAGAACTCGGGGACGGAGTCCAGCCCCCGGGGACCGAGCCCAGAACTCGGGGACGGAGCCCAGCCCCCCGGGGACAGAGCCCAGAACTTGGGGACAGAGCCCAGCCCCCCGGGGACGGAGCCCAGAACTCGGGGACAGAGCCCAGCCCCCGGGGACAGAGCCCAGAACTCGGGGATGGAGTCCAGCCCCCGGGGACCGAGCCCAGAACTCGGGGACGGAGCCCAGCCCCCCGGGAACAGAGCCCAGAACTCAGGGACCGAGCTCAGAACTCGGGGACAGAGCCCAGAACTCAGGGACAGAGCCCAGAACTCGGGGATGGAGCCCAGTCCCCCGGGGACAGAGCCCAGAACTCGGGGACGGAGTCCAGCCCCCGGGGACCGAGCTCAGAACTCGGGACGGAGCCCAGCCCCCCGGGGACAGAGCCCAGAACTTGGGGACAGAGCCCAGAACTCGGGGACGGAGTCCAGCCCCCGGGGACAGAGCCCAGAACTCGGGGATGGAGTCTAGCCCCCCGGGGACAGAGCCCAGAACTCAGGGACCGAGCTCAGAACTCGGGGACGGAGCCCAGAACTCGGGGACGGAGCCCAGCCCCCGGGGACAGAGCGCGACGGAACGCAGGCCGGGCCACAGCCGGCTCCTCGGGCGCCCGTGTACTCGAGGCCGCGGGAACTTTGACAACTCGGGTTTCCGAAGCCGCCGTTGCACCCACACGGACTGGAAAACCCCTAGTATGACCGCAGCATCGGGCGGCGGCCTCGGCCTCCTCCGTGTCCAGTTCCCGGCCGCCTGCGGACGAGACCCCGGCGCGGCTCCCGGGCCGCCGGCCACACTCCCCGGCAGCCGCGCCCGCGCACCGCCCGCGTCCGCACGCTCCCCCGGCTCCGCGGCGCCGCCAGGTGACGTCAGAGAGCGCGCGGCACGACGGCGCCGCCAGGGTGGCGTCAGAGAGCGCGCGGCGCGGCGGGCCGCCGTCAGGGGCTCGAGGGGGAGGGGAGCCGGGGCGCTCTCGGCGGGAGTGGGGGCTGTGAGCGCGGCGCGGAGAAGCCCACCGCCGGGGCCAGGGGTCCGGACGTGGTCCAGCGCCCGCCCCTCAGCTGAGACCCGGCACCCGAGACCCGGCCTCTCGCGGCCCCAGACGCTGAGGCGTTACCTCGGGCCCCGTCGGGCAGCGGCCGGCGACCTGAGAGCCCCCGTCGCCTCCGCCGGCCGGCTGCAAGCCCCGCCCCCTCCGTCGCGCGCTTGCGCCGCCCGGGCGACCGCGCGTGTCGACGGGAGGGGCCTCCGCGTTCCCTTCTTTCCCGGGACCGGCCCACTCCGGCGGCGCCGGGGGGGGGGCGCGTTTCTCCGCGTCCCCGGGGCCCCCTCGTGAGGAGGCGGCGGCCACAGGCTCCGGGTCTGCGGACCGGGCTGCGCGGCGCCCGTGCCCTCGGGACCGCGGGCCGCCGCGGAGGCGTGGGGCGGCGCCGGCTAGCGGCCGGCGGCTCGGCGCTCCCCCTCGGCGGCCGGCGGGATGGTGCGTCCCGCAGGGCGCGCGCGGCTCCCGCGCTTGGGCCGCTCGGCGCGGGCGGGGGCGCAGAGGGCGGGGGAGCGGGCCCGACTCGCAGGACCGGGCCCGGGCCGCGCCGTTGGGGAGCGGGCCCCGCGGGGCGGGGCGGGAGCCGCCGCCGAGCCTTCCGGCAGCCGCGACCATGTCGGACCCGGCGCCCAAAGTTCCCGACGAGATGTTCCGGGAGGTCAAGTACTACGCGGTGGGCGACATCGACCCGCAGGTACCGCGCCGCCCCCGCCCGCCGCTCTCCGCGTCCCCGGCCAGTCCCCGCTCCCGCCGCGGGCGCGCGCCCTGGCGCAGAACGTCCGGGCTCCGCCGGCTGGGCCCCGCCGAGCCCGCCCGCCGGGCTGCGTGGAGGTTGGGCCCCCCGTGCCGCCAGGCCCGGGGCCGGCGGGGACGCGGGATAGGGGACCCGGGGGAGGGGGTCTGCGGTGCTCTCGGGAGGGGACCCGGGGAGCGGAGGCAGGGGACCTGGCAGTGAGGGTGCTGCGGGACCTGAGCTCGGCGGGGAGCAGAGGAGGGAGAGGGGATGTGTGGGTGGTTTGCGAGACCCGGGAGGCCGCAGGGCAGGGGGGTCTTAAGGACCCACGATCAGGGGGAGCAGGAGCGGGCAGGGTCGGAGATTTGGGTCTTGCTCTACTGGGACCTTCGGCCAGGAGGGCCTCTGGAGAGTGAGCTCAGGGAGGAGACATGGTTGGGGGGGGGGGGTACTTACTGACCAGAGAGGAGGGGAGGGTCCGAGCTTAGGGCCTAGCACGGAATGTCACTGGCCTGGCCTGGTGGGGGACCGGCTTCTGTCGCATGTGGTAAGTAACCCCCCCGGGCCTGCCACCTCAGCCAGCTGCCACTTTGCTCCCTTCTGGGGCAAAATTGGACTGGGAGCATCTTGGCTGCCACCCACCACGTGTGTTTGCGCTCCCAGAGCAGTGGGCCCCAGCGTGTGGACGGGGTGAAGGCGATGGAGCCCGGCCAGGGACCCCAGGTCCAGGCTCCTGGGGGCTTAGTGAACATGGTCCCTGGTGTGGCCGGCCCCCGGATCGCACGTGAGAAGCACTCACTTTGCCACCACTGAAGGCCTGTTGTTTGATTTTCCTAATTGGGGGAATTAACCAGTAAATGGGGAAACTAGCCAGGGAGCACCGTGGGTCTAAACACTTATTTTTTCCTAGTTTGGGCTCACTCCTAAGGACGCTGTGGCTTTTCAAAGTTTTTTCTAAGGAATGCATGGTGGTTAAGTGTCAGAGCTCCTCTTCCCCTGGGGGTGAGTCTTCGTTGACTGTCCTCTTCAGGTTAATCCGCACAGTACGCCCTTTATGGAAGCTTATGCAGGTGAAGTTACCTTGGGTGTCTCTTAGCTGTGAGCACTAAGCTTGGAAGGCGGGCCAGGGGATGCGGAGGAGACCGGCGATCAGACCTTAAGGGCTCAAGAGTGGAGACTGGTGTTTAGGAAATAAATTTGTTTGGCATAAAAGGAATCATCGAAGGCAGAATGGTCTTGGGCTTCTACAGGCTGGTCTCTTAGTGTCGCAGTAACTAAACTCTGCCCCACGATCCCCAAGGTGGGTCCTTTTTCTCCTGTAGCTATAGGGTGAAGAGACTGAGCCTTGGGTTTAAAGACAGACAGGTGTTGAGCCCAGAGTGGTCAAACTGAGTGCCTGTAACAGCGGCCCCTCCTCCCGTGTCGATAATTTCCCTTTCTTTCAGCGTCCATCATTCTCTCTCCTTCCTTCCTACTCTCTTTATTTTGTTTTAGGGTTTTGGCTTTTTCTCATAAGGGACTTGAACCAAATGTTACTTAACACGGAACACGCTGAATTGAAACCGTATCTGCTCAACCATGACTCAAATCTAAGTGCTTAAAAATGTCCTTGGCAAACCGCTTTGATCTGCAACAGGATATTTTGTAAATGATTTGGAGCCAAACCATGGATTCCCTGCATCTTTAAAATATAGATTCAGAAAGTCCACACGTATCGAACATCTAGTAGCTGTAAAGGCACTGGCCTAGATAGCAGACGTCAGGTAAAGGGGAGTCATAGTGGAACCTGATAGGGATCCTTGAGGACCCCCCGCTGGTGGGGAGTGGGGGTCACACCTGAAGACCTGATGGTGTAGGCTGGTAGGTGTGGCCAGAACAGACTTCTCTGCTGGGCATCGCTGGACTTTTCCAAAGTAGGTGTCTTTTGCAGTTGGCTGTTGAGATCTGCAGAAGCTCGGAAGGGGGTGAGGTGAGGCCTTTCACGTGGAACGCGTGTGCCGAGGGGTGGAGGCGTTAGTGTACTCGGGATATGTCAGGATGATCAGTATGCCCGGTGCCGAGTGGCAGGACGTCAGTCTAGTAAGGCACGTTCGGGACTGCGGAGCCTGGAAAGAAGCCACTTTGACCACTTTCTTGCACTGTCTCCCTCCAGGCACCACATCCTGCTCTTGCTCGTTCCCCCTCCCCTTCCTTCTTCCCGTCCCTGCGGATGGTCCCTTCGGTCGGTCACCGGCCGCTTTTCCCCGGGCCGTGCAGGTGCCTCACGCCCCGTCCGTTCTTGGCCTGACCGTACTCCCTCGGTGAGATCTGGCCCTGCCGTTTCCCTGCCTAAAACCCTCATGTCGCTCCAGAAGTGCCTTCTGTGTTTTATTTCAGAATAAAATACAGATGTCGTGTAGGAGGTCAGAAAGGCGGGTCACTGCCCCGCCCGGCGTCCTGTCCGGTGCCTCGAATGCAGCGCTCCCCCCTCAGTGCATGCGTTTTTGTCTGGCCAACTCCTTAAGTTCATCGGGATTCTGCTCAAGTAGCCTCTCTTCCAGAAGCTTTCCCCTTGTTGGTGAAACTGCCTGTCCCTAAGGGTTTTGAGTGTGCGCCCAGTCCCTGTTGCGTCTGTCTGTCTGTCAGACACGCTACCTCGTACCTGGCCCCCAGCCTCCGTGCTTACCTGGTCAGTGGGTCCAGATTTCCTGCCTTTCACTGTCCTCAAATGTTGGATTGCGTATGATGCAGAGTAAAAGGTTATTACTTTTATGTGGTGGACGTGGCGTGTGTTTATTAGAATTTTCATTGTTCACAATAATTCATGTATCAAAAATGAAATGGGGGCGCCTGGGTGGCTCAGTCAAGTAAGCGGCCAGCTGCGGTTCAGGTCATGGTCTTGCGGTTTGTGGGTTCGAGGCCCGCATCGGGCTCTGTGCTGACAGCTCAGAGCCTGGAGCCTGCTGCCGATTCTCTCTCTCTCTCTCTCTCTCTCTCTCTCTCCCCCCCCCTCCCCTGCTCATGCTCTTTATGAAAAATAAGTCAGTGTTAAAAAAAAGACTGAAATGTGTTTTTCCACTTTAACTTTTGTGTGTGTTTTAAAGGTTATCCAGCTTCTGAAAGCTGGGAAGGCAAAGGAAGTGTCCTACAACGCGCTGGCCTCACACATAATTTCGGAAGACGGGGACAACCCTGAGGTTGGAGAAGCCCGAGAGGTCTTCGACTTACCTGTCGTCAAGGTCAGTGCTAAATCGGATCGATCGTACGTATCTCATCATCGTGTATCTCCAAAGCAATACGGTGAGGGCTTTGTGGGACCCTTCGCAGGGTGTGTGCTGAAGTTCTGCCTTGTGGGGGAGGCCGCCGCACGAACGAGGGTCTTTGGACGGCTCGGTGCCCGCCATGGCGCAGGGCCCTTTACGGTCACTCTAGGTTGGTCAGCACACGCGCCTGCGGGGGAGTGGCCCTGTCTCGTCTCTGCCTGGAGCTCTCCACCCAAGGACCCGGGCCTTGGAAGTGGGTGTGTCAGCTTGCAGCAGCAGTCCCAGGGACCCAGTGTCACATTGTCCACCTGGTGGCCATCACTGGTACCGTGGTGTAGCGGATTGGCTAGTTTTTTTTACAAAGTGGGGGCCTCCGCTGGGGGCGTGAGTTGTTCTGAGCGTGTGGATTGCACGCCGTGCTCTCTCTTGCTGCCCGTGCTCACGTTGGCCAGTGTTAAATGTGTGTTTCTGAAATGTAGTTTTTTTGGTTCTGGTCTTTCCGTTTTTTATCTAATCATACGTATTATGCATTTGTTTCAAAATAATTAAATTATCATAAAACAGTTTATAATAATTAAATATTTAACTCCACTATCCTTTTTTTCCCCCTCTTTATGCTATCAAACACTTTGCCGTAAAATCAGTAAAAATTATCACGGCTTCCTCACAAGAGAGGCTAGGAGTTAGGAGGCTGCCATTAAAGTCGGCTGGGATGCAGAGACACTGCCTGCCCCTGGGAGGTCCACACCTCCTCAGTGTCCAGCCCTGAAGCCGCCTTGCAGGCTTAGAGACCTGATTTTTGAAAATAAACCTGAAAGCCGATCTGTCTCAGGAGAAGGTTCTCAGAAACCAGACTCTCGGGAGACGGCTGTATAGTCAGAGTGACTATTAATTTGCAGCGACGGACACAATGGTCACGTCCCTGCACTAGACTGCTCCTTTCAGCCTGGCCAGGTCCTTCGTGAAGATGGAACGTCCGCAGGCTTCCCGCTGCGGCCGCCTGACCCCACCGCGTGGGAGAGACAGACTGCGGCAGGCACTGCGCTGTGGGCGCGGGCACTCCCACCCACGGATCCCGCCTTTGTCTCTGGTCTGCTTCCATTCTGCCGTAGCCGTGGGGACGGTGTCTCTGCGTACTCTCTGTCTCTCGGTAGCCCGGGCCCCTTGTCTTGTGACCGTGACTTTACGTGGATTGTGTGGTTCAGAGTGAACCTTGAAAGGGCAACCTTATGAACCAGTGCTGGGGGCTGCGGTCATTTAGAGCAGTGGCCCTTAAATCTGGGGACTGTCCAGTTTATGCAGCAAGCACTTGGTAATACCCTCTTTATCATCCCCTTGCTTATGTGTAGGGGACCGTCCCACAACTTGAAATACGTGTACGTAAATGTGTACTTCTATTTACCTATAAATCGCCCATACTGAAATGTAAAGGAGAAGAAAGGGAAAGTAAACCGTCCTGTGTATTCGGCCGGTAAACACTTGGGCACGGCTCCCTGGAGGCCGGGCACGGAGGTCCCGTGCTGCTGGATGCCGAGGCGCTGTGAAGTGGCTCCACGAACGTAGACTGTCCCCGTTCTGCAGGCGGAGTCGCCAGCCGGGAGCTAACGTTTCAGAGCTCTGATCAGTGCCTGCCACAGTTCTGAGCTAAAAAAGCCATCTTCGTCTTACACGGCGTATTTCTGGGAGAGTCGGGCCGTACTAAGGCCGCATAAGGTGCCTGTGACCCAGCTTCTGCAATGATCACATTTTGCCGGTCTGGCCCAGGTCACCCTCCCCCCCAGCTTGCCCCAGTGGCTGTAGTTTGAGACGAACCCCCAGGCACACCGTTACTGCCTGCCGTCAGGGCCCCAGCCTACTTGTGATAGGTGCAGCGCCTGTCCCGCCCAGGGGCCGCCCCCCCACGATGATGCTGGTGTCCACTCAGGGTCCTAGTCTGAGCTCAACTGAGACTGGGGCAGAGGCCTGCTTCCGGAAGCCCGGGTCCCTTGGCCTCTACATGTTAAGTTCGACAAATGCATTTTAAAAATAAGGCATCCTTAGGCGGTGACAGATTAGCATTTACATATTAGGGTTGTATAGATGTTGCATCTCTAGGCACCAGAACTTTTAGGATAATTTTTTTAATGGCACTATTTTTCTCAGTGGCCTTAGGGCATCATTGGAAATGTTAATGCAGACTGCGGTGGGCGTATTTTTATCTGCTGTTGTTTGCCTTTGGGATAAATTACTCCTTATTACTATGCTTTTCTAGTTCTCTCTTTCTGCCTTATTATTATCAGCGTGTCCTACTGACTTGGCATTGTGTTATCTAGACACACGTGAGTGAGGGTTTCTGGGTGGCTCGGCTCTGCATGGACTTCCTGATGGCTAGCCTCAACCCTTAAGCAGGGAGGCCCACACTCCCTCTCCCCCAGGTTCCCTGAGGGATACTTCCCAGGGTGTATGCCGCATGTAAGTCAAGGGGAACCTGTCCCAGTGTCCTTGAGAGAAGTCACACCCGGCCCGGGTGCTATTCTGGCGCATCGCCTCAGGCTCTGGAAATCCTCCATGCTGGACCAAGGGATAACTAGAAATGCTGGTTTCTGGAAGCCGCCCTGGTGCACAGTCGAGCGGGCCAGGGGCTTGTGAGGCCCCGGCGGTTACCGTGGCGCCTAAAGCTCGGCCCCTGTGATGTTAGCCGTAGGAGAGTCCAGGCCCGTAGTGGCTCCCGAGGCCGGCCAGCTCCCTTTGAGTTAACTGGAGATTCCCCAGGACGGTCAGAAAAGTGCGAAGACCCTTGGATGAACCACATGGTTGGAGGCACTGAGCACTTTCTCCCAGCAGGGTGCTCTCTCCAGTGAGTTAGTTAAAACGCTTGGTGAAATGATCAGATCATGAAATAATTATTCCAAGTAGAGCCAATCTTTATAAAATGTTCAGTATTCCTACACCTTGTTCACAAACTTTATAAATATAGCTGAAAAATTGTTGATGATACCTGAAAAATGACGGGGAGTATTTTGTTTTCTAAAGTTTGTTTTTTTTTTTAAAGTTTTTAATGTTTGTTTATTTTTGAGAGACAGGGCGCAAGCAGGGGAGGTACTGGGAGAGGGACACACAGAGCCTGAAGCAGGCTCCAGGCTCTGAGCTGTCAGCGTGGAGCCCAATGCAGGGCTCGAACTCACAAGCGGTGAGATCATGAGCTGAGCCGAAGTTGGACACTTACTCAGCTGAGCCTCCCCGGCGTCCCTCTAACGTTCTTAGTTTATGACAAAAGTGGTTTGCAGATGGTTAGGTTGGAATATGGGTTGCATCAGAGCAGAGAAGACTAGAGTTGCATCTAGTCTTCGTTGTTACACCCCAGTGCCTTGTACCATCCCTGGGCCAAAATAGAGTCAGTAAGTACCTGATGATTAAATTGATGCAGGAATAATACGTATGTATGTTCATTTCAGTTTGTCGAAGTTTCTGGATGTTTCAGCTGGCTAAGTGGGGCATGATATAGATGAATGTAATTTTAAACATGTGGAAATAGAAATTTTCAAAAATATAAATTACCCAAAAAGGCAGTAAAGTTTTATACTTAATCTGAATTATGGAATTTATAAAAAAATTACTAGACAAATACGTTCATGATTTATAGCATATCTATTGGAGTTTACTAAAAACACTCATGAACTTAGACGTGGTTGGGTTTGGCACTGCAGAAGGAAACCAGGGAGGGCCTGGCATGCCTGGGAGGGGAGGGGGCAGGCCTGGCTGTCAGACCCTGCCCTTCGGCTGTGGGTTCCTAGCTGGCCCCGACGCCTCAGTGGTGATAAGTGTGTACACCTAGAACTTAAATCTCTGTGCATAATACTTTTAAAAATTGGTGGTACTGCTTTATTCTGTAATTGAGCTTTTGACCTTGGGCATTAATAACGAATCTGATATTTTTACTACTTGAATACTCCCAATGTGGGTGCTTTGTGATCACTTACAGCAGAGCCTTTAATTTCTAGGAGCAGGGCTGGTGAAATGTCATTTTGATTATAAATGGAAAGCGTTGTTTGATTTGAGTTCATATTTTCTTTTTCAGCCGTCGTGGGTGATTTTGTCCGTCCAGTGTGGAGCTCTCCTGCCGTATCCTTTTTGGAGAAGGGGGAGGGAAGGGACGACTCTGGGTTTAAGACTGAAATGGTAACTAAGTGGATTCGCTAGGAGGGGGTGTGTGTGTGTGTGTCTGTCCTCTGTCCCTTCTGTTTTCCGTTCTGTATCAGATTTTCCGTACCTGGTCCTTGTCCCCCACACCCCGGAGGGAGGGCTGCCAGCGGCGGGGCCCGGGCTCTAGTTCTAGGCCAGGGCTTTCCGGTCTCGGGCAGTCCGCCTCTCTGGACCTCAGCTTTCTTGTCCCTGCGACAGTTTTTCTGGTAGCTAGTTAGGTGGACTCTTTCTAAAATTGTAAGTCAGCATGAACCAAATCAGGAGTTATTTGAAGAATAGATAGGGGAAGGGAACATCAGAGCTTTTTTAGTTCCATAAGCTGCGTTGTCATTCTTTTTTATTACATTGGGTAGAAGGTGTACTTAACACGCGTGTTGGCACCTGGTGTGGGCTGGGTGCCAGGACTAAAGGGGTCACCCGGGGCCCCTTGCTGCCGTGGGGACCCCCCCCCCCATGCACGTGGCCCGTGCTTCAGCGTCTCCTGAGTGTGGCGTCAGAGCACAGTCCTCCCCGCCCGGTGACGTGTCAGGCTGCCCTTTCGTGTTCTGGGCCTCATGGCTTCTGTCTCGCCCTGGCGGTGTGGCGCTCCACTGCGGGGTCCCTCCACGCGTAACCTGATCGTGAAAGTCCCTTCTTTTAAGCGTGCCCGGCACCCCGACCTTAAAATCGCAGACGTCGCCCAGAGATGATGTCTTTCATCCTGTTTTGCAGCCCCGCCAGGCGGGTCCTGTGAATGCATTTTCACTTCATTGAACTGATGCAGATGGAGAGAATCTTTTTTGTATTAAATATTCACAGTGGCCTCAAATACACAGCAAACATCCCTTTCTAAGCAGGTCTGGGGGGATGTGCGGAACTCCAGCAGCTCCGGCTCCAGACTCCTAAGACTTCTCAGCCATAATCTGACGAGTTAGAGGAAATCAGTTCCTGCTCTGTTTTAGTTTTTGTTTCTTGGGAGTTTTTGTTTTCTTCATTGAATAAAAAGAAGAAAGACGGGGAGATGGATAATTTTGTAGGTGAGAGGTGAATTCTCCCTGTTCTGGATCATGTGTTCTCTGCACGAGATTCCCTAGGAAGCCGTCTCCCCGAGTTCTTCCCTGCCTGTCCCAGAGCAGCTCCAGGGGACAGAAAAGGACTTTTGGTTTGCATTTGGTCATGTTCGCCTGAGTCTTTGGAAGGAGATACTCCTTGCGCCCCAGGTAGGAGGGCGGAAACTGATCTCGGCTCGTGGGGTGAAGGCGTGACGCGGGGTCCATGGGGCTCATACAGTCAGTCAGGCTCCCGTCAGCCCTGAGGTTTCTCAGCAGATTACAGCGAAATTTTCCATTTGCTCTGTTTCTCTTCATTCACTTATACCTCAGTCGGTGCACTTTATTCCTGCCGGAGAAAACAGTAATACTTTATCATAACCCATTTCTATTTGTAGACACCCCAGATTCTTCAACAAAAGTCATTGTGTTGCTGTGCATAGGCCGTATGTTCTGGGCGCCCCGAGGTCGGGTCCGCTTGGGTACAGCCGTATGCCCTGTGTCTGGCACACAGCTCTTTTCCACGAATTTTATTTTGAATGAATGTTAAAAATCAGAGCTTCAGAGCTGGGAGGGTTGGTAATGGTGTGTATTCTAGCTCTTGTTCTAGTTAAGGGAGATCTGAAGCTCAGAGGTGGTCCTGCCCAGGTTCATAACGTTAGCAGCGGTGGTAAGACGAGACCTCAAGTTCTTCTACAGAAGATGCAGTAACGCTTCCTTCTAAAATAAACCCTAGACTTTTAAGTTTGCTATGAAAGTAATTGCTGTGCCGTGTGTGTGTGTGTGTGTGTGTCTATGTGTGTGTACACAGTAAGTCGGCTCTCAAGGGCGGGTGTTTGCCCCTGTGAGTGTGCGTGCCCATTTTCTTGACAATGTTCGTGGAGGTGCTGGATTTGAAACCACTTCCCAGAACCTCCCCGTTGTCTCTGTGCTGTCTGCTGCTCCTTTCTCCGTCTGCTCCACCATTCTCGGTCCCCCTAAGTCTCTTCCTCAGTGGACCGAGTGGGAGGGTGGGGGTGGGTCACGTCCCACGTCTTAGTGAGATGCAGGCGGCACTAATCTCATTTCTTTGGAATCTTAATAACTATAAAACAGAGTCAATGGTTTTTCTCCAGAGTCATGTCAACTCTTCTTTGGAGTCACTGCCTGCCTCTCCCAGGTAAGTGTGGGTACAGCCCGTCCTGTGTCATTCACACGTAACAGGTGGGAGCTTTTCCATGTTTGGGTGGATCACCTGTTAAGTCAGCCAGCTGCCTGTGCAGTGTGACCTTATGACACACTTATAATTCTTTAAATATCCCTGCTTAGACTTCAGATTTAAAGTCTTAATGGATGAAAATGGTCTTTCTAATATAGAGTTCCAAAGATGTAAAATTTGTGGAAAAATAGAAGTGGAATTATTTAAGATGACAAAAGTTCAATCATAAAGGCAAAGAGAAACAAAACCTCAGTAGATAAGGCAAAAAAATGAATTTACAGCTTTTTATAAAGAGGAATTACAAGTAGTAAGTGGGACGTAACATTTGACACACTTATAATCAGGACATGAACATTTATTAGCGCTGACGTCAGAATTTCCCCTTCTTGGGTTTGTGACTGTGGACGCCTGACCCCAGGTGCGCCCCTGGCCGCGTGTGCGCGCCATGCCGGTGCACCTGCAGCCGAGCTCCCCCCCCCCCCCCCGACTGCTGGTGGGGACGCAGTTCAGGGCGGCTGTTGGTGCAAAAGTTGAGTGGTGTCGTGAGCCCTAAAATAGCTCCTCTTGTTTTCCCCTGCGATTCTCTTACATTTAGAAACGTATCCCCAGTTGGTAGAGAGAAGGGCGTTCCACAGATACTATGTAGAATATCTAGGGTAAAAGTGGGAAAAAATCAGGTCATCCTGTTTTTGGAAATGGTTCAGAAAGCTGTTGTGTGCAGTTATGTGACAGTGTAAGTACATAGCCAGTGTCGAGTGGTGCTTTATGGAAATAGAGGACGGGAGGCAGATTCTTTAAGTGGGGGGAGGCCAGACGTAGGTACGTGCAGTGTGCCGTTACTCAAGTAAAATGTACGGGACTTGTCTGAAAGGGGGGACCAAACGTTAGCAATGGTAAATTCTAGGTAGTGAGCAAAGTGGATGTTCAGTATTTTTAAGTTGTGTTCTGTGCCCTCCACTTCCAGCTAAAAGCCCTCAAATTATAAAAAAATATTACAACAAGTCAAGTTGGTATTGTTTGAACTCATTTTGAAATGCATAGAATAATTCGTTGAGCATGAGCACAGGAAATGGTGTGGTTGACCGTGCCCTTATGGACCCACTGCCGCGACGACCTGGGCAAGGAGCAGGGTGGCGCCCGTCCCCAGAGCCTCGAGGAGGGGCCCCTTCAAATCCCTGGGTGAGGTGGGAAGGCCTCGCTCCCAGCCTGGCCCCGCTGGGTCCGGAGCCACCCAGTGGGCTTGGCCAGACTCTACCTTTGTTCCGGCTGTCTCCCCGCCTGTTTGACCCCTTCCCTGTCCCCACGGTAGGCAGGCTCAGTTAGGGTTACTCTGTTTTACTTTGTCTCTAGTAAATTCTTGAAGTTCCTTAAAATTATGAAGTTCTCTCTTTCTGTTTTTGCTACCTTTATTTAATAGGGAATCCTTGAAATCCTGGCTTTTTTTTCTTCTGTTAAGAACAGCAATTTTGTGGGGCATCTGGGTGGCTTAGTCGGTTAAGTGTCCGACTTTCGCTTAGGTCATGATCTCACGGTTCGTGGGTTCGAGCCCCATGTTGGGCTGTGTGCTGACTGCCAGCTCAGAGCCTGGAGCCTGTTTCAGTCTGTGACTTCCTCTCTCTCTGACCCTCCCCTGCTCACGCTGTCTCTCTCTCTCTCTCCTAGAAATAAATAAAACATTTAAAAAAAATTTAAAAAAAGAACAGGAATTTTGTTAATATTTGTATTTTTCAACATTTATCACATTTGTACTGTAAGTGATATTCACAAAGATAACGATCGTTAAAGTTGGTTAAAACGAAAACCTTTTAAGGATGGGTGCTGTGGTTGTATATGGTTTTTATTGTTTCCTTATACTTCTCTGTGGGTTCTAGATTTTTAACAAATTCCAGAGAAGTTTTAAAAATGAAAACATTTTAGTATTATTCTTTAGTGCATAAACACCGTGTACTTTGGCTGAAATGTGAATTTTGCATTTAACTCTGTTTTCATTTATTGGAGCTGTGGGTTCAGAGACTCAGAGCCTACTGTGCAGAGGGCTCGAGCTGAATGAGAGAGGGAGAGGAGGAGGCTGGGCCAGGGTCCCGTGGCTCTTTCAGGGATCGGGTCACAGCGACGTGCTATTTGGCAGACCTGACGTGGGGAAATAAATATTCAAATCCATTGCACATGTGATGGATTTGCATATCACATTATTAACTATGGGTTGAGTATTAGAGAACACTTCTGGTCTTCGGAAAAGCCAGTGGTTACATTTAATAAAGGTCAGAATGTATGTAGCAGATTTTCAGACCGACAACACGAAGGTTAAGGCGCACACAACACCTTGTCACCTGCTGAGCTCGATCAGGTGGCCCCGTGTCCGTGCCAGCGGTCACAGGAGCAGGCGCGAGTGTGGACTTGCCTGGGGGAGGGGCGATGTCAGGCCTCAGGGGCCCGAAAGAGCGGGCAGAACGCGAACCGGATGGGGGCGCGCGTTCCTGGCAGGGCCACGTGGAAGGAGGCCAGGGCGCCAGGGCTGCTGACAGAGGGCGCGCGCTCGGGGTGCCGAGGGCCGCAGGGAGCAGCGTGGGCGGGGCGGGAGCGTGGGAACTGGCCCGCATGAGCTCCCTAGCGTGGCCAGTGGGACGCTCCTTTCCTTTGTTTTCTTAGGTGTTTAATTTAGGATTACACGTGTTTACGCCAGGACACTTGAAAACCGCCGACCAGCAAACATGGAAACCCTGCAGCCTCGCGGGCACAGCTGGTCCGCAGGCTGAGGCAGGAAGGGGAAAGCGGGAGCCTGGTCCCTCGGGTGGATGGCAGAGGCGGCGTGGAGCACGTTGTTTGGGGTGTCGATCAGCTATCCACATGGGGGGGTGTAGGTGTGGTGCGACGGGCAGAGAATTTGCTTCTTGCAGAGGAAGGTAGGAGGCCACGAGTCAGGAGCAGAGCCTTGGGTGGTGTTCAGGAAAGGGACTTTGCGAAGAAAAGAAACCTGAGCGTAAATAGAGATCTTGGAGGAATAGCGGGTTGTTTTTAGAAACCAGGGGTGAACTCAGACTCCGTCTCTAAGGCTGGGAAGCGGCAGTGTCCCAGGTGAGGGTGGGGAGCGCTGATTTGTAGCAGATAGTTGTGTGTAGCTTTGTGTGTCCCCTCAGTCCTGCCTGTGACCCAGCAGAGGAGGAGAGCAGGACCCAGGACTGCTGAGCGGGCTGGTGGCCGTCGTGCAGGCCCGGCGGTGGTCTGGGCTGGGAGGGCAGCAGCGGGGCAGGGAGGGGGTTGGAAGCCCGTGGAAGAAGCCACAGCTCGGTGGTAGAGGGCACGGGCAGAGGTGAGCAAGTGTCCCTGGGCCGTGTGATCTGGGGAGGGGCCCGGCCTGTAAAGTTTTATCCAGGTGCAAAACACAAGGCCAGGGGCGGCTGCAGCTGCGGTGGGCAGGCAGCGGGATTGAGGGACCTTTGACAGTGTTCTTCTGTCCTTTTAGCAAATTCATTAGGTAATAAAACTCAGGGTCTGGAGTTCTTTTGATCTTCACGGGTCGCTTACTACACGGTTCGTTGCTTAGGGTGATGAATGGGAATCCGTGTGCGATAGGATCACATCGTAAAACGCTCTGCTTAAGAGTTGAGAAAGACCGATCAAATGAGCATGGGCAAGATTTCACCTGATGGAGGCTCACGAGCTGAAGCCCTGGTTGAGAACAGGGCAGTGTGGACACGGATATTTTCGGGGGCGGGGCGGGGAGGGAGGTTACATGAAGATGGGATGTCTTCCCTCAGTAAGCGTGTGGTCCGGGAGGGAAGACGGGCTTGTGAGCGAGCTGCGGGCTTTGGCAGACACAGGGTACAGGCGGCTGCGCGGTGCGGGGGCTGCGGCGAGCAGGACTGTGGGCGCCCACCCGGCTCTGGCTCTGGCGCTGCTGCACCCGCACCAGGCAGGACCCCGCCTTTACGACGGGACGGTCCGCTCGGTGGCTCTTAGTGACCGTCTGCCTTCTCCGCCTCGTCGGGGTGTCAGGGTGTTGACACAGGCCGGAGCTCTCTGTCGGAGGCTTCCAGAGCTCTCCCAGGGCCAGGCAGGGAAGGCTGCTTGTGCCAGCAGCCGCCGGGATGCGCACACGCCGTCTGCCGTCTCCCGAGCGCGTGTGGCTGTAGGCGGGGGCCCCGCTGTGAGGTGCCGGGTGGGCTTTCGGGGACACGATGAGAGTCCAGTGGAGTCTGGCCAGACTTGTGACTTCCGTCTTGAAGCTAAAAATAAAAGCGCTTCCCGTTCTGTCTCTCAGCCAGCAAACCTTTCTGGACGGCCTCCCCCTGTGCCTCGCGCTGTACTCAGTCCCGTGAGGGAGCCAGGAAGTCGAGGGCGTAGGTCTTAGTGAGGCCTCCGCCTCTGACGGTACTTGCAAATTGTAGTTTTCTTCAAGACGCGCCAGGATAGGTTTGGCGACTAGACCCAAGGAGCGTCCGGCTTGTGCCCAGAAGGGAAGGCACTCCCGACTGGGGTGAAGGGAGCGGTTGTTGAGGGGAGCCGGGGACGAGGTGACCGTCCTCTGCGCCACGTGCTTAGAGGACAGGGTAGTGGGGCGAGTGAGCGGGCGGATTCGGAGCGTGGCCAGCACGTGGGCGTGCGTGCGGCCTGCCGTGGGGCCAGGGCCAGTGGGAGCTGAGTGGGCGACGGGGCTGGGCAAGGCACGAGCCCGGGCCCAGCGAGTCGGACGAGTATGCCCGAGGCACGGCGCTGCCGTGGGACGCGTGTGCCCTGCACGGTCACGACGGCCTGACTTGCCACGTCCGAGCTTCGTAGGCCGAGATGACATGATCTGTAGTTTACAAAGATTGCTTTAAAAAAAAAAGGCACTTTTCCCCAGTTATAGGAGTAACACTCTTGAAAATTTGGAAAATACAGAAAAGTATAAAAATGAAAACAGAGGGGCCCCTGGGGGGCTCAGTCGGTTAAGTGTCCGACTTTCGCTTGGGTCATGATCTCGCGGTTCGTGGGTTCGAGCCCCGCGTCGGGCTCTGTGCTGACTGTCAGCTCGGAGCCTGGAGCCTGTTTCAGTCTGTGACTCCCTCTCTCTCTGACCCTCCCCTGCTCGCGCTGTCTCTCTCTCTCTCCTAGAAATAAATAAAACATTTAAAAAAAAAAAATGAAAACAGAAATGGCCCCATAATCCCATCCCCACGAGGGCACTATTGTTAACGTTTTGCTGCAGAAGAAGTGTTCTTAGTTGTTAGTTACGTGGATGCCAGTTCATTGTGCAGCTGGTTTGGATGTGTGACGTCGTTTGGCCCAGACACGGGACGGTGAAGGGCCCGGTTTGTGGGAGGCCTCGGATTGGCCGGAGCCCGTTGGTGGAGACCCCGTGTCCGCTCCAGGTCTCCCTCCTCCCGCCCGATGTTCTTTCCACAGTGATAGGCTTCTCCCTGTCGCGGCCCAGGCCTGTGGCGCAGGCCGGGTACTGGCTCACCGCGGGCGGCCCAGCCAAGCCTGTGCGCGCTGCTCTGTGGCCACGGCCTTCCCGGGAAGGCACCCTGAGGTGCTGATTATTTACCTTCATTTTTAATAAGGAGGATGTAGTGATCCTTTGGAGTCTGTCTTATCATGTAATTAAATCTCACCCCTCCAAACGCTGCACGAGATATGTGTTTTTGTGAAAGCCTCCAGTAACAAATAATAATTTCCTGACCCAGTCTTCTGATGTGACAATGACTAACGAGAGAGATGTAAAGTAGTGATTTTTCACGGTGGTTTTAGGAAATTAATATGTTCCTATTAGTATTCACAGAGTAGTGTGCAGTGCAGAATAATTTCTGGAAACCTTTGTAAACTGGGTGAAAGTAGATGTAAGGTGGTAGAGTTCTCGTGAGCTGACTAACGGCAGCGTTTAAAAACATGCTCTTTATAGTACTGTACAGAATTAACAGAATTCTTAACCATAACCCTCAATTTACAATAAATAACTCAGGAAAAAAATTGACCTGGTTAAATGAGTATGTTAGAATTAACTCCCCTTTATTTTCATACTTCTTTTGTCTTTCAGACTCTAACATCTTATTTTTTAGAAATTCTTTTTGGGAGTAATTGCCCTTAGGGAAGGTACAGAACAGGGAGATAGAAGTTTCGACACCTGTGTTTTAAAAGCCAGCATCTCTGATGATTAGCTATAATTTTGGCAAGTGTGTTTCCTGATCTGTACAGTGGGCTTAATGGTTTCTGCTTGGCATGGCGGTCGCGAGGGTCAGGCGTACGTGTGAAGCCCGCAGCACAGTTCTCGGCACAGAGGAGGCAGGCAAGAAGCAGCTGTTCTTGTTCTAGCGGAGGCCTCTTCTCCGACACAAGCCGCTCCGTGTGGGCCTGACCGCACCGCTAGGGCCGGCGTGCGGTGGCCCCTTGCATGCCTGCCTCTCCTCCTTTGTTTGTGAGGTAATACTGACCGTTTCCCTGGGCTCACAAATAACTGTTTTTATCTTTCTATTTCATCCATTTCTTAAGTAGTGTTTATCTCTTAACGATGAAGGAGTTCCCTGATGACTTTGATGCTGCTGGTGCATTCTGACACTTTCAGATGGAGTGGTGGTCTGCTCCCTCTGCTTGCCCTCCCCATCGCTTATGTTGAAAGACTCCTCCATTAATTTTTTGGAGTGGGGATATGTGTTTTCACTCATTTGGTGACAAGGCGAAAAAAATCACATCTATAAAGTAGTCAGTGATAGGAATCGAAAGTTTGTCGTGACAAGCAAATAGCTAACAGCTCCTGTGTCTTCCGTGCGAACCCCCTTACGTGATTTCCGTTAAGGGAGGGAGGCAGACGCGGACGACGGCTAAGATGCCGCCTTGTACTTTAACAATAAGCAGACTTGCACAGACTGAAATGTGTGACGGAAGCCTGGTGTCCCTTCCTTTCCCAGGTGTCGTCTGAAGACAGGAGCGCCCTGTGGGCCCTGCTCACTTTCTATGGGGGGACCTGCCAGCTGCACCTCAACAAGAAATGCACGCACTTGGTTGTCCCCGAACCGAAGGGGGTAAGCATCTCCCACACGCCCCCCTCTTCCTGCGTCCCCTCAGGCCATCCCTGGGCCGTGGGGGGAGCACCTCCCGTACGCCCCCCTCTTCCCGCGTCCCCTCAGGCCGTCCCCGGGCCGTGGGGGGAGCATCTGCCACACGCCCCCCTCTTCCCGCGTCCCCTCAGGCCGTCCCCGGGCCGTGGGGGGAGCACCTCCCGCACGCCCCCCTCTTCCCGCGTCCCCTCAGGCCGTCCCTGGGCCGTGGGGGGAGCACCTCCCACACCCCCCCCCCTTCCTACGTCCCCTCAGGCCGTCCCTGGACCGTGGGGGGAGCACCTCCCACACGCCCCCCTCTTCCTGCGTCCCCTCAGGCCGTCCCCGGGCCGTGGGGGGAGCACCTCCTGTATGCCCCCCTCTTCCTGCGTCCCCTCAGCATTTCCAGTAATCGAGGGGTTGGTTTTGAGCTTCTGTTAAATTAATGGTAAGATTCCATTTACAGAAGCTGATTCTGTTCACCTCTATTATTTACATCTGGTTTCATTCCACAGAGGATGGGAGATGATTATCCTTTCTATTCACAGCCAGAGTGACCTCTAAATGCAAAGAAATTTGGGTTTATCTCATGGAGAAAACTGGAAAGTTTTTGAATCTCTAGAGTTTCCTTTCAAATCCAGTAAAACTTTAGTTCGTTTTTATTTGTGAAAGTATATGTTTTTAGTTGTCTTCACAATTTTGGAAAAGGGCTCGTACTGAGTATAACTTTGCAGACACGTATTTGGCAGTTTCCAATGCCGTTTCCTTTCTGATGATCTAAAGTATATAAAAGTATGTGTACCTCGATGATCATGGGGTCCTTGTCTCTAAGCACTGCGGGGACCACAGAGTTTTGGTTTCCCGGGTGGGCCCTCAGGTCAGCAGCACCCGCCTCCCCTGTGGATTTGTGAGAAATGCAGACTGCGGCCCAGCCCAGACCTTGTAAACCAGGACCCGGCGAGGGCAGGCGCGGAGCCGGCAGCTCTGGCGCACCCGAGAGCTTGCGGACCACCGCCTCTGGAATCAGGCTTTGCTGTCCCCAGGAACAGTTATTTATAAGTCTGAGAGTCCAGAAGAGTGTGTTTGTGGTGAGTTAACTTTCCACATACGGGGACCCTCTCTGTTCTTTCTTGCTGCCTCAGTCCGTGTGGCCTTCCTGCTCTTCCCGCCAGTGCGCTGGCTGCAGGGGGCCAGCGGCGAGGGGCTCTGGCGAGCAGTGGGCAGCATGGACTGGCTGAACCTGCCCTGAGAGAAGACCCCTCTCGCAGAGGCTCTGATGCTGAGCAGAGGTGACCTGTGAATGTGTGGTGGCCGCGCTGGGCTCCTGACAAAGGAGCCCTTCGTGACCCGGCGAGTGTGGCTGTAACACCGTCAAGCAGTGTTTTCTGTGAAGTTGTAGGATGTGACTCTTCAGTCTCTCAAAGTGAAGAATCCTAGTCTGCACAACATTTTAAGAGATATATAGTATGTTTTGGCCAAACAGTATATGGGTTCTTTTCATACTAATATCGTGTAATTTCTGGATAAGAGTAAGTCATTTGACTGTAGGCAGCTAGCTCGAAAGGGAACAAAGTCTTTATAGATTTGGTAACGATGAGTCAATACTTCTGAAGAGCCAAATGGTAATGCAGAGGCAGTGCACGCACGTCAGTTTCGGAAATAAACGGCATCTCTTTAAATCCTTTTATTTTTTTTTTGCATTTTTTTTTATGAACAAAGGAAATGTTCTACCTTTCATATATTGGATTTTTAAAATGGTCACTTAGGTGGAGAAGAAAGGAATTTAAGAACAGAATCAGCAGAACACAGTGTGCGCGTTGCCAGGAGGGGCTGATCTGCAGCAGCTGCAGCCCTTGCGTGGGAGCGTGGCCGCTGTGGCTGGGGGACCCACCAGTCCCACGGCCTGGACTCCGTCGGCCACACTGTTGGCTCCTGAGGTCATGAGTTTGGTAACTCGTCCAGGTGAGGGTGGGATGACTCGGCTGCTCGGTCAGCTCAGGCAAGGGCGTCGGGTGGTGCTTGCTTGTAGGTCACCTGGTTCAAGCATAAGTGTCTTTCAGTGACAGAAACTCCCTTGTTGGGGGACGTGGGAGAACGCATGAGTGACGGTGCGGTGCGTAGATTGCATGGCACACAGTCTGGTCCCCGTGAGACATGGAGTGCCAGCCCGCCGTGCACATGGGAACCACCAGCCGACCTGGCAGGTCCCAGCGCCAAGTTCAGGGTTCCTCTTTGATGTCCCAAGTGCACCTCGACCGCGCTGTAGGGCACTGGTGGTACTTTTGCTGTTTCGTGACACCATTCAAAAAGTATTTCATATTTTATTATTTTCAACAAAGTGTCTTTCTACCTTGGAAAAGAACGTTGAAATCCTATCTTATATGTATGTTATTTGGTCGTGTTTATTCAGCTTATAAACACTTCAGGGTATGTCCAGGCTTGTTTTCCTGGGACAGCCCTGTGGCCCTCCTGGGACAGGCCGTCAGGAAGTTAGGAGTCTCATCTGCTGTGGAAGTCTCTCATCTGTGTTTACCGTGAGAGGTTGACTTAACATTTCATACTTAAATATTTCAGAATGATTCTTAGAATAAAGAATAAATTTTTTTCATTTTTTTAAGGTTTTATTTTAACTCTGTAGTTAACGTAGGGTGGTGCGTTAGTGTCAGGTGGACGCAGAGTGATCCAGCACTTCCGTACATCAGCCGGGGCTCAGCTTCATTTCGGTGCTTAGTACACACCGTGCGGTCACGCAGATATTCCCCCGTGCTTCTCTTCACCTAAGGGTCAGAGCACGTATTATCTTAATAAGATGAATTCCTTAAATCATGCTTTACACACAGTGTGGTTTCAGTGAGTTTAAGCACGCGGCTAGGAATAAAAACATTTTTCTCGGGTGTGGGTCAGTGGATAGAGCCATACGGAATTGGCAGCATAGCCTTTTAGGAGGCTCTGTGGTTAGAGCTATGGAGCCTGAAAGTACTTTTCATACTTTGATGCCAGAACCCACGAGTTCATCTTAGACCAAGAATCTAGGATATGTGTGTCGAGAATTAAGTTCACTTTTTCATGGTAACAAAACCCGAGATAAACACTAGAGACGACTAGAGTGAGTGGTACCAGAAATAACCAAGCGGTAGTCCGTGGGACCGGGGTTGCCTGGATTCTCGACCGTGCGACAGAGTGGTGTGCTCGGGTTAAACCGACTTAAGCTCGGGTCTGAGGGGGCTCCACAGCCCGAGTGGGGCCCGCAGTGGTGGGGGCCGTCGTCAGAGACGCACGACATGGCGTCATGGGGGAGATGGGTGAAGCAGGATTGCACGCGGGTGCAGGCGGTTTATTACGGTGTCTCCACTTGGCGAGTTTGTTCGAAAATGAGCGCTAGACAGTGAAGAAGAGAAGTGCCGGCGTAGAAGTACACGCACGGACGCGGGGGAGTTCACAGTGCATTAGGTGCGAAGAGCGCATCACGGAGCCCCGGTGCCCCCTTCACCTTCTCAGCACACGCACATCTGCATTTGTAACAGGACAGCGGAGCCGGGCGCTCGCGGTGTTGACCGTGGCGCGCTCAGCAGGTGGTCTCCCCCCACCGTCTCGGAGTGGCTCCCCGTCGGGTGTCCTCAGAAGCCACGGCGCGGCATCACTGAGGCCCGAGCCCCAGGAGGAGGTCTGGGCTTCCCGGTGCTGCCGTGGCCGCCGCCGGCCCGAGGGCAGTCGCCCGCCCCGGCCACCCTCGCCGACTACACAGCAGGGGCCACCTTCAGGCTCCTTGACAGGAAACGGGTTTGGATGTGGGGGCTCCGGCCGTGTGTGCCAGAGACCGGCTGTTCCCTGAGGTGCTCAAAGCCCGGGGCGGGGGTGCTCTCAGGTGAGCGAACCATAGAGAGGAACTCGGTTGTTTATTTTCTAAAGTTTATTTATGTATTTTGAGAGCGGGGGAGGGTGGGGGGACAGGGAGGGGGAGAGAGGGAGGATCTCGCGCAGGCTCCGTGCTGTCCGGCAGGGGCTCGAACTCCGGAACCGCGAGGGGAGCGGAGATCAAGAGAGCCCCCCAGGCACCCCTCAGACTTGTTTATTTTAAAGCTGCGGCATCGTATTACTCTTGCCTAATTTCTTTTTCGTTTATGGCTTTATCCTTTGGGGTCTGTTCCGTTCTACACGCTTTCCTGCGAGGGAGCCGCTGCCTGGGAGCACGCCTTTCCACGCGCCCTACGGTTCGTGCCCCGTGCCCGGCCCGAGGCCCGCGGCTCGCTGCGGCTGGGACCCCTCTGCGTGTCGCCCCGCCCGCCAGAGGCCGGGCGCCGTGTCCTCCGTGGTGGTCCCTTTCTCTCCAGAGCTAAGCTGTGAACCTCGCTGTCAGGCACGGGCTGCGTCCTCTGTGTCTTCCACGCAGCGAGCTCAGTAAACACTAGGCGCCTCATTGAGGAAGCCTCCCGCGAGAAGTCGGCCGCCCTCCCTGACCGTGCCCCGTGTCCTGACGAAACTCTGCCCCCTCGTTACGGCTTTGCACAGATTGTCAGTGAATAAAAACTAGACGAGGTGGCGGTTATTTATCTCGCTCGTGAGAGAACCGCCCGTGGGGCCGCTAGCTGTCCTTTTTTCCTCACATGCCATCTGTGAAGGTGGACTGTGGACAGAATCTTGTGAGGCCGCTGTCGCAGGCGGGGCCGCCCTGAGTTCGCGGACCCGTGGTTCGCTTGGGTCCTGGTCGTGCTTCGGGAAGGAGTTGAAGCCTTTCTCTGCCTAAAAGGGCAGTCGCGGGCGCCGACCATTCCAGCTGCGTCCCTGTCCCGACGCCGTGTTCCGTGCACAGTCCTAGGAGGTCTGGTCACACTTAACAGCCGTGTTCATGTGTGTGTTCTTTGCTCGTAGGAGAAATACGAATGTGCTTTAAAGAGAGCAAGCATTAAAATTGTCACCCCCGACTGGGTCCTGGAGTGCATATCCGAAAAGACCAAGAAAGATGAAGCGTTTTACCACCCTCGCCTCGTTATTTACGAAGAGGAGGAGGAGGAGGAGGAGGAGGAGGAGAACGAGGAGCAGGACTCGCAGAACGAGGGCAGCACGGACGAAAAGTCGAGCCCTGCTAGCTCGCAGGAGGGGTCTCCGGGCCACCTGCAGTTCTCGCCCACGTCAAACGCCGAGAAGGCCAAGGGCGAGTTGATGTTTGACGATTCCTCAGATTCGTCACCGGAGAAACAGGAGCGAAATCTGAACTGGACCCCGGCCGAAGTGCCACAGGTGGCCACGGCCAAGCGCAGGCTGCCCCCGGGGAAGGAGCCCGGCCTCATTAACCTGTGTGCCAACGTGCCGCCCGTCCCGGGCACCGTCCTCCCCCCCGACGTCCGGGGCACTTTACTGGCTCCGGGACAGAACCTGCAAAGTTCCGAAAGATCAGAAATGATCGCTACTTGGAGTCCGGCCGTGCGGACGCTGAGAAACATTACCAATAATGCTGATATTCAGCAGATTAGCCGACCGTCAAATGTAGCACACGTAAGTCACTGTAAAGAGCGGAAACTTAAATAATGGACTTTAGAGCTGAATTTTACAGATGGTTTCAATACAGGTTAGTATTTTCCGCTTCTTCAGGACAGTTAACTTATAAGCGGTACTTACTTGTGTGAGAATTGTTCTAGTTCTACAGGTGTGTGTGTGTGTGTGTGTGCGCGCGCGCGCGAGCGAACATTTCTTACGCTCCGGCAGGATACCAGTGACGGGAGTGCTTGCCCGAGGAAGGCTTTCTGCTCTTAGCTTCAGATGAGCGGTGGCAGCAGAGAGAGGCATGGAATTGACCGGGTGTTATTATTTGTTTATAATGAACCTCATGGTGGATAAATAACATAATGTGAACTATTCTTTCGTTTAAAGAAGCCTGAATCTCAGTTGATACTACTGTGATTGGAGTTTGTTGATACGGAATATGGCCTTGTCTTTCCATTTAGGACTGAAAGGAAGTTGTTGAGGTGGTACGCCGGTCACTGTGTCCTTTCTGTGGGTCGTGGGGACAAGGTGGCGAAGGAGAAAGACCAGTTTCCCACCTTTGTTTCGGGTGTGGGAGGTGTACGCGCAGGAACAGAAAGACTCGTGTGGGTGGGGGGCGTGGGTGTGCTGAGGACAGTTTGATGAAGCGCCTAGAATAGCCGCCGGGGGAAGGAGGGTATTTACGAGAGGTGGTCGGGGAGGGCCTCACGAAGGAGGTGTGAAGGACAGAGAGGCTGTGGGAAGAGCAGGATGGGGTTCCCTTCCCCGAGAAGGGAACAGCGGCTGTGAAGACCCAGGGGCAGGCGTGAATTCGCTGTGTTGTAAGGGAAGAAAGTCTGTGAGACTTGGGGCTGTGGGCGGAGCTGGGGGGCCTTTGCAGGGGTCTGTCCCCCAGGGCCTGGGTCGTTCTCCCTGAGTCCGAGCAAGCCACTGGGACTCTGGGAAGGGCCTGTTTCTTGTAGATCACAGTCCCTGAGGAGGATGGTAACAGCAGTGCTTTTGTTTTTTTTAATTTTTTTATTTTTTAACATTTATTCTTTTTGAGAGACAGAGCATGAGCAGGGGAAGGGGCAGAGAGAGAGGGAGACACGGAATTGGAAACAGGCTCCAGGCTCCGAACTGTCAGCCCAGAGCCCGACGCGGGGCTCGAACCCACAGACCATGAGATCCTGACATGAGCCGAAGTCGGACGCCTAACCGACTGAGCCGCCCGGGCGCCCCGACAGTGTTTTGATTAGCAGTGCGTGTTAAAGCTGTTCTTTTTTTATTGTCCTGTTCTCCCTCCCTGGCTTGGCAGTAAGACAGTACGTGGTTCTTGAGACACCAGAATAAGGTGGAAGAAGAGAAAACATTCTGCAGACGTCAGAAGGGAGAAAATTAAGATGGCACGAGGCAAAGTGTGTAGGGCGGAGGGGAAGAGAGATGTAACCAGGGTTGAGGAGAATGGAAGGTTCTGGAAGAGTTGATACGGGGATCCTGGGAAGACAGTATTGTTGGACGTGGTTGGGACCCAGGTTAGGTTGTGGCCACAGCTTAAGAGACGTGGAGGAGGTGGAGGCCGAGAGGGTGGCGGACAGGACAGGCGCGGGTGCTCGGGGCGCGGCAAGGTCGAATGAGCAGTGCTGGAGGCGCAGTGGCTTTGGACGATGACAGACGAGCCAGGGCCAGGTTACACGCCAGCAGCCGATGCCACCTGCTGCCTGACATGTTTGCTTTGGAGCAAATAATTTTCTTAATTTATTTGCCAAAATCGTGGGATCATCTACAAAAATGGGGTTTCTGGCGTTCCTTGCGAGGTGGATGAGCCGGCATTTTGCAGTCTGAATGGTGACAGCGCCTGGCAGCTGAGCCGCGGCCCCCCCTCTGGCGGTGAGGCGCTGTTCGCAGGCCCGCCCTCTGCGCCCCGTACCTGTACTCCCCGTCTTGGTGCTGAACTTGCTGGGCCCGGGAGGCACTTGGAGTTGGTGGGGACACCGGTCTGGAGGGTGGTGACGACGAGGAGGGCCCTGGGAGGAGGTGGTCAGGGTGCAGCTCTGTCCACTGGGGCCCATGCTCACGTGGGGTCTCTGGAGGCGAGGACGCAACGCAGAGAGCCCGCGGCCGGGGTCATGGGCCATGGCGCCCCTGATGCCAGGAGGTGCGGTCCCAGCACCAGCGGACAGGCAGGGGGCGGAGGGATGGTCACAAAGAACTGGAAAGCCAGGGGCACGGGGCTGGCCGGAGAAGGCAGCCAGAGGACAGCCCGGAGGCGGCAGTGGTGTGACCGGGGCCTGCGCAGGGAGACCGGGCTGCCCCTGGACGTGAGTGTGGAGCGCGGCCTGCGGCCCACAGCCCGGGGAGCACAGGGACCCCCCCTGTGGTTTGGGGCCCGCGGCCCCTGCTGTCTGTCTGCCAGCTCTCCCCGCCCACCCCCCAGCCGCGCCCTGTGCTTCTCCCGTGACCAGTTGGATCCCACGCTTCCTGAGTTCGCGTCTGGGTGGGATTGTCTCCCGGGAGGTGGACACAGGTGCCTGCAGCCGGGAGCGGGTGCGCCCCGGTGGGGGGTCGGGGGGCCGTCGGAGAGGCCGCCAAGTCTCCTCTGCAAGGAGAGCCGCTGCCCCAGGTGTTTGGTGGGTTTGCAGCGGGTTGAGACCTGGGACATTTGGCTGCTAGAAGTGAAGAAAATGAATTTTTGAAATGTTACAACTAGAGGACAGACTTAGCGTAAAAATAGTTGTGGGGTTGGGAGAACACGGCCAGCTGCCAGCATTTGTTTCGGTTGTGAGTTGTGGCTATAGGAGCCATGTTGTTGGTTTTGTAACTCTTTATATGTTGGGGCTCTCCATATGAAATAATTTAAATAACGAGAACGATAGCATCCCAGGAAGGAAAAGTCCAGACTCGACATTCATTACAAATTGTTGTTTGCGAAACGGCAAATTACGTGATCACGCAGCTAAGAGCCCCACTTCTTTCTCTGATCCCTCGAGACCAGCACATGTGTCCAGCCAGAGGCACGGCAGAGGGCTGACGAGCCGCCTGGTTCTGGAGTCCAGGGGTTGTCCTGGGAGCCCCTCACCGGGCGCCCGCCAGGTGCCGGGGCTCTCGTCCTCACCTCCGTGTGCTCTGAGCCACCCTGTGCTCACAGCCTGCCCCTCCCCCCAGCTTCCCTGTCCGTGCTCCAGACCTGGAGCCCCCCCAGCTTCTCTCTCCATGCTCCAGACCTGGAGCCCCCCCCAGCTTCTCTCTCCGTGCTCCAGACCTGGACATGCCCTCCCTGCCCCCCCAGATGCGAGAGGACCAGCCTCAGGCTCCAGGCGTTCAGCCATTCGTGCTCGCTCACCCTCTGTACAGAGGCCCTCCAGACCTCCCGGAGCTGCCCTGTGATCTGGGGTTGAGGCGCAGGGGCGGGGGCATGTCCATTGTGGCGGACAGGCCTTTATTCCTTATTAGCAGTCAAGTTCCCGTGGGTTGTTACTTCTGAGAGTAAAAGAGGGTGTATGTACCGAACTTTAAAAATTCAAGTGGCACCAAAGGCTATAAAGCGATAAACTCCGTCCTTCCCCTAAGTCCTGCGTCCTCTCCAGAGGCAGCCAGTGTCACTGACCCGCTGCGCTGACAGGCTCAGGACTGATCCACAGAGGCGCTAGCAGGTGTCCGCCACCCGCCCCACGTGGTTTTTACGGAAGCGTGGGCCTCCCGGCTGCTGTCCTGCTGTGTGGGTGTGGGAGGCGCTGCGGCCCGTTTCCCTCCATGTGACCGGTGCTTCTCGTACTTTTAACCTTAGAGAAGAAATCGTTACTCTATTTATGAGTGTGTTCCACATTTTTTTCTTCTGGCTAGAGCTCTGCTGAGGAGTTTTCGAAGTGTGCAGAGAATGCCTGATGGAGATCGGTGTCCTCTCTGTACGGTGGTGTGAAAGACAGATTGTACAGGCCTAGAGTTGGCCAGCTTCATTTTTTTTTAAATGTTTGTTTTTGAGAGAGAGCAAGAGCGAGCCTGAGTGGGGAGGGGCAGGGAGAGAGGGAGACGCAGAATCCCAAGCAGGCTGGCAGCGGAGCCCGGCGTGGAGGTTGATTTCACGAGCCCTGAGACGGTGATCTGAACCGAAGTCGGCCGCTCACCCGGCGGAAGCCCCCCCGATGCCAGGCCTCCGTCCGTTTCAGCCCTAAATCCAGAGTCTGCTTCCCTTGCAGATTGTATCACCTTTATGTTTGTGAGTCTGTTTAAGTGGAAGATCTGTTTTAAGATCATATTTGAGATTTTTGTGTAGTCGTGGTTTCCTTTATGATAGAATTTCTAGAGTTTTATTGGAATGGCAAGTGTGCCTTTACCAGGGCTGAGTGGTATTTCGTGAGTTCTAGGAAACTCCGGTGGTCCTCGGTCTCCTGACCATCAGACCGTGGTTTCCAGTTTGTGCCATCAGAGCATGTTGGGAAGAAGGTATCGCATGACATAATGCTTCGGTTTTCTTCAGGGCCATGCAGGATGACCAAAGAGCGTGCCATCTGGTGCCCTGGCCTCTCCTGACCCCTGCTCCCGTCCTCTCCCGGCCCGCAGCTTGCAGAGGGCTCTCCAGGGGGAGCCAGAAGGGAACCAGTGGGCGGGTGGGTTTCTTCTCGCTCCATCTGAAGACCGTCGCTCCTTTTTGAGGAAGAGGCTGGTTTACCATTTAAACAGACCTGCCGTTGGTGTCTTGTGCGGCCCCTGTTTATGGAGCTGCCAGGGCACAGGGCAGGGTGACCCCAGATGCGGGGGCAGGGGGGCGGTGCTCTCACTGGGCGGTGGTCTTCACGTCCGCCTCATACAGGGCCCCTTTCTTTGTTGGAGAGCAGCAGCTGCGGAGAGGAGGCTCCGCCGGGCCGCGTGGTTACAGGGCCCGCTCGACCTTCCCTGCAACAGCCCTGGGTTAGGAGGAGTCTGCAGCATGGCAGGGGTGAGGTGGTGCCTGTCAGGCACAGTGCCCGCAGCACAGACGCCTGCTCAGAACCCGAGAGGAAGCAGGGCCCCTCTGTTGTTCGTTTTCTGTGTGTTTTTGCAGCCCCGTCGCTGCTTTATCAAACAGATCAGCCATGTGAGTTTGTCTGTCACTTTAAGTCATTTGCTTATTCCCTGTTCCTCATTTCCAAATTCTGCTGGTCTCGAAATACAGGTTCATTGACTCTCTTGAAGTTGGTGATGCTTAGTAGTAACTGCAGAAGGAAAGCGCGGTGCCGTCGCCGTGCGGCTCAGCGTCGAGGAAGCGCAGGGAATGCCTTCTCCTGGCGCAGAGGACGGCGGCACACTCCTGGCCGCGGCGCTAACCACCCCGCCTCGTGTTTGTCTTCCAGATCTTACAGTCCCTTTCAGCGCCCACGAAAACCTTAGAGCAGCAGGTGACCCACAGCCAGCAGGGCCACGCCAGCGCCGGCGCCGTGCTGTTCGGCCACGTGAAGGTGGCCCCGGAGCCGCCGCCGCCGCCGCCGCCGCACCCGGTCCTGCACCTCCCGCCGCAGCAGATCCTGCAGCTCCAGCCGCAGCCGCAGATGCCCCAGCAGCCCTATGCCCCGCCGCAGCCGCACCCCTTCCCGCAGCCGCCCCCGCACCGCCCGCAGCCGCCCCTGCAGCAGCAGCAGCTCCAGCAGCACCTGCAGCACCTGCAGCAGCAGCAGCTGGCCCAGCTGCAGCGCCTGCACCTGCAGCAGCAGCACATGCACGCGCCCGCCGCGCCCCCGCTGGGCCAGCCGCCACAGCCCCCTCCGCCCCCGCACCAGACCCCGCACCAGCTCCAGCCCCAGCACCAGCCGCAGCCCCAGCACCAGCCGCAGCCGCAGCCACAGCTGTTTGGACACGACCCGGCCGCGGAGAGTTAGTAGCGCGGCGGCCCTATTTCCCTCTCCCCAAGTCTCGTACGCGGGCGCCAGGGCAGGGGAGGGCCCCCGTCGGGACAGGCCCCCGGGAGGGGAGGTGCGCCTTGTGCCGGACACGTGCTCTGCGCGTCATGGGGCCTCATAGCCCTCGAAGGGAGCACGGTGCCCCTCCCCGGGCCCCAGGCAGTTGCCCGTGCGCGTGGTCTGCAATGGCTTCATATGCGCAGGCGAGCCAGTATGTTCGAGGGGTTTTGAACGCACAGCTTAGGCTGGATACATCGTGGTCGGGACTGATAGGCTCAGAAATGCACATGGAACGCGGCAAAGTGCATGTTTTGGTTTTGTGCGTGTGTATTCAGGGGCTTGTCTTCCCTGTGTGCTTCCGTTCCAGTCCCCGAAGACGGGTTCCTGCTGGGGTGCGTGTTTGCAGTGGCCGACTACCCGGAGCACATGTCGGACAAGCAGCTGCTGGCCACCTGGAAAAGGGTGAGTCGAGCCCCAGGCACAGCTCTGTGCCACAGACTCCGCGCAGCCTGGCCTCGGGCTCCTTCCGCTGAGCTCACCAACCTGCGTGGGATTGTGTTGTGAACGCCTCGCAGGCGCTCTTGTGACCTTGGGCAAGTCCGTGACTGTTCTGGGCTTCAGTTTTTTCCGTCGTAAGTGGAAATGTTGGACTTCATCATTCTTCATGTTCTCTCAGCTCCTCTGTCCTGAGGGGCACAGACTATTTGTGTATCACTGGGGGGGTGAGAATGAGATCAGGGGTGCGGTGCCCCGGGGAGGGGCCGTCGGCCTCTCTGTGCTTCTGTCCTTCCTGTCCCCAAGGGCGAGTGCTGGGCACCTCAGGCTCTCCAGCTGGGAAGGGGCCTCAGAGTCTCTAGGCTGCTTGTGGAACGTAGTCCCCGTTCTTACTATTTTGTACGTTGGGTTTTAAAGAAAAGAAGAGGTAAACGCTTTTCCCATTAGTGCCGCAAATCAAAATGGCCTCAAAAAAAAAAGACTTTACAAATACGCTTCAAGCGCATCTTAAGTGCGCTTCTCTGAAAACGTTCCTGTTGTGGGAACCCTGCTCTGTGCTCTGAGACGCAGGGAATGCTGGGAATGTGTGAGATCCTGAAAACTCCGGGTCAGCTGTGGCCTCCGGGGAGGGGGAGGAGAGAGGAGGGGGAGGAGGCAGGACATTCCTGCACATGGTATTAAAGGGCAAGTAGGGGTGAGCGTTGAGGGTGTCCTAGAGAGAGACCTGCATGGGACAGGGTGGCGAGAAGGCACAGACCCCGGCCAGGCCGTTCCTTCCACGGCCACTTCCCGTGCCACGTTACGAGGCTGGATTCCCCCTGTAGTTACTGCAGCACTAGAAAAGCAAAGGTACACGTTTTACACCTTGAGTCATTGAGTGAAGGGGGTGCAGGCAGGTGGCCAGGCTTAGCGGGAGCTACCAGTCACCTGACCGGGGGTGCGGTTGGAGTGGGGGGGGGGGCGGCTGAGAATCATGGCAGCAGGAAATTCTTTAACAGTCACAGAAGTGTTAGAAGGTGGTGGGTAGCAACCGTCTAAGAAGAAGTCCATTGACTGAAAGATACAAAAGATAGAGAAAAAGTCTGCTTCTGTTTGAAGCTGCAGTATTAGTCCAGGAGGGGCTGCGAAGGGCAGGACGGCCTGTGCCGGGGAAGCGCAGGCAGGGGCACGTGGGGCGGTGGCTTGCGCGTGGGGAGGGACTGGCCGTGCCATCGCGGCAGGCCCCGGGCTCGGTCTAAGAACCGCGGCCGGGAGGCTGTCGGTGTCTCGGGGCCGCAGGTGCGTCATGGAGCAGCTGGCAGCGTCTTCCGGGCCCCGAGGACAGGTGGCCCCCAACTTCAGACGTCGCGGCCCATCTGCTGGCCGTGCGCCACTGCGGTGCCCGGGAAGGCACTCTGGGCGGGATGGGAAAGGAATGCTGTGGGTGAGGGCGGGGGACAGCAGCTTCAGTTGGCACAGGCGGAGCGGGCCCCGAGGGGCAGCTGATGCACACGCGCCCCGATGTGCTCCGTCTGTCGGGGCGGGAACGCTGTACCGTGCCCTCCGCTGAGTGACGAGCCCTCCATGCCACGGTGACCCCCGCAGGGAGCACCCGTCACCTGGCGGTTCTGTGTGGGTGGAGACCCTGCTGTGGCCCAGCAGGGTGCCTGTGGCTCAGGTGCTCTGCTCAGGGGCAGTCGGGGGCACCAGGAGGCAGGGGCAGCGCCGGCCTTCCCCCCCACCCCGGCAGGCGACCTGAGGCAGGGCCGGGAGAAGCCGCAGGGTCTCCTGACGCTGTCGTGGGAGCCGCATGCAGTCATGGCACCATGTCCCATCCGTCCAGCCCGAGCCTAAGCGAGGGCCGAGCTCCACGCCAGGGGGAGGAGCGTAGGGGATCCGTGGGCGCGGTTCTGAAGCCAGCACGGCCTTGTTGCGTGCGGAGTCTGGGAGTGACGTGGTGAAAGGGAGGAGGGAGCACGGCTCTCACCGGCAGCGGGAAAAGCGAGGTGGGGTAACCCCGCAGGAGGAGGTCGGGATTCCTGGGCATGTGCTGGGAAGCGTGGGAATGCCCGCTGGAGCTGAGCCTGGTGCAGGGGATGGGAACCAGTGCTGTGGCTATTGCTGCCATGTCACATGCCGTAGTGAGTCGTGTTCGTGACCGGCTGAAATAAAAGCTGGTGATTTTTTTTAAGAGAGCATGAGTGCAGGAGGGACCGAGTGGGGGAGAGAGCATCCCAAGGAGCTTCAGCGCCATCAGTACAGAACCTGACACGGGGCTCGATCCCACAACTCTTGAGGTCCTGACCGGAGCCAGAGTCGAGTCAAATGCTCGACCGACTGAGCCACCCAGGAGCCCCAATCAAAATCAGATTTAAAAACTAAATGAAGCAAAGGGCGCCTGAGTGGCCCACTTGGCTAAGCGTCCAACTTCAGCTCAGGTCATGATCTCGTGGTGCATGGGTTTAAGCCCTGCATTGGGCTCCGTGCTGACAGCTCAGAGCCTGGAGCCTGTTGCGGATTCTGTGTCTCCCTCTTTCTCTACCCTTCCCCCACTCACGGTCACACTCTGTCTCTATCTCTCTCAAAAATAAACGTTTTGTTTTTTTTTTTTAAAGTAAAAAAAAAAAATAGTAAAGGAAGCAGAACCATTTTGTGGGGCAGATGTTTGTTGTTGTTTTTTTTTTTTTAACCAGACGGTGAAAGTCTCTCCTTTCTGGTGCACAGTTCTCTGGACTTCGACAAATGTCACCAGCACCATGTGACGCCATAGAACCATTCCCCCAGCCCTGGGACAGAATCTGTTGTTAAAGATAAACTTTGGTGTTTGCTAACTTCCTGCTCATTTTCCTTTTAGAACAATGGCTCTTAAGCAGGGTGGCTCTGCCCCCTGGGAGACATTTGGCACTGTCTGAAATGTCACACGTGGGTGGGCACCGTGGGTGGGCGTCCGGTGGGTGTGGGTCAGGGAGGCACGGGACTGACTCCAGGGCATGCACAGCACGAGGTGGAGAGAACGTCCCGTTCCTCTCTCCCTTCCCTCTGGAAATTCAAACGAAGGGACTGTCGGAGTTCATTTCCACTGAACTGTGCTGGGCGCCAGTCTGTAAACATAACCAATGCGTTGTGTGTGGCTCAGTGGAGCACGCCGTAGAAGCAGAGGATGGGCTCCTCTCCTAGCCGTCTGATTTGAAGCCGGGGCCCGTCCCCCCGATGCCAGAGGCTGACTACACTTTGGTCTCACGTGTCTAGATAATCCAGGCACATGGCGGCGCCGTGGACCCCACGTTCTCAAGCCGGTGCACCCACCTCCTCTGCGAGAGTCAGGTCAGCGGGATGTACGCGCAGGTGAGTAGAGCGGCTCCGCCGTGAGTGGACGGAGCCTGGCCCTTCTAGGGACCATCTTAGGAGTCTAGTGGCCGCCGTGTTCGGAAAGGACCCTTTCCTGCCTCTGAGGACAGCAGCGTACTTTCTCCTCAGTCTTTGCTGGCATAACTTTGTGGCCTTTACGCCTCTGAGCGTGGAGCACCAGACCCGCCCCTTCTCGAGTCCAGGGCAGCTCCGTGACTAAGCCGTGGGCCGAGGCAGGACTTCCTGCTGTCGTGGGGCCTCCTGCCGGGCACGGGCTCTCATGATGTCACCTCGTGTGTGGCCTGAAGTTCCGTGGCTTCTTTTTTCCACGCTGCGTCCTTCCTGGACGGAGCCCTGTCAGCATGTGTGTGAGAGGCGACCTCCCCGAAACGGCCCTTCACGCACTGCAGCCTTTTCCTGGATCCACCTTCCAACTAAAAATGCAGAACTGCGGGTGGGGTTTTGGTTTTTCCCCCGTACGGTAATTTTAGGTTTTTACGTTTTCAGAGCCTGTTCTCGTTGGGGTCCTGTGCATTCTTACCGGAGAGCTTTAATTGGATTTTGATGATCACAGACACGGTCTCATTCCATGATTATTTCTAAGGTGGTGATAAAATGTGTGGCCTTTGCCCCCGTCGCAGGCTCCTGTGTGTGTGGTCGTCACACTCTCTGTCGTGTGACCGCTCACCTGCTGCCCTGGGGCCATTTGTTCCTTTGGTCAATCGAGGGCTGACGTCTGGGATTCTGACGGGGCCTCCCGGCAAGGGGTCATCATCGCTGTAGGCGTTATGGTTGTGTGTGTAGCCTTGCAGCTCCCAAACCCCAAGCGCGACAGACCCGGAATTCTGTTTGGCAGGCGATCCGGGAGAGGAAGAGGTGTGTCACTGCGCACTGGCTCAACACCGTCCTGAAGAAGAGGAAGATGGTGCCGCCCCACCGTGCCCTTCACTTCCCGGTGGCCTTCCCGCCCGGGGGGAAGCCGTGTTCTCAGCACGTAAGGCGCATGGCTTCACTTGGTGCGCGTTCTCCTCCGCCAGAGGCTCCCCAGGGCCCCCAGGGCCCCGGCGGCGCGCACGCCTCACTTCTACGCTCCTCACGGCACAGGCCCCGGCCCGTGGCAGAGTCTGCCTGGGTCTGTGGCGTCTTGAGGACACGGCGTAAAGGCCCACAGTGCAGCAGAGGCAGGTCCTGGGTCTTGTGTGAGAGCGGCGGCCGCAGACAGGGCTCGTTCTCCCACAGCCTCAAAGCCGGGGTCAGTGGGGGCGGGTGGGGGGGGGAGAACTGGCCCGTTCGTGTTTACACGCTTAGCGCAGCAGCTTTGTCCAGGTGGCGTCCGTGTCCTCGTAACACAGAACAGGCTCCCACGCACCTGCTGTCACAGTCATCCCTGCCCCGGTGGCTCTGTCCGTGGCCTGTGTCCCACGAACGGGATGCTGGTAGTGGCACTGCTGAGGGTGGCGTGCCCGGCTGTCCCCGGGAGCGCCACGTGCAGAACGGGAGGGCACGTGCGCGGAAAGCAGGCCCGGAGGAGGACGTGCCCACGGGTTAAAGTGTCACTGCGTCTTGGCCTTATTTGCTCTCTTTGTGCTTAGATTATTTCTGTGACTGGATTTGTCGACAGTGACCGAGACGACCTGAAGCTCATGGCCTACCTGGCGGGCGCCAAGTACACGGGCTACCTGTGCCGCAGCAACACGGTGCTCATCTGCAAAGAGTAAGCACCGCTGTGGCGCCGCGTGCGGTCCCCAGCTCACGTTCGGGTTAGGGACCCAGTCAGACTTAGCGCCGCGTCGTGCTACGGCGGGAACGTGACCGTCAGGCCGTGGGAGGGACGGCCCGCTACTCGCTCGTCGGCAGGAGTGGCTGTAGAGCTGGCGGCGAGCTGACGAGCGCATTAACGGAGCCGGAGCCGGAGCCGGGCTCGGGAGCGAGGCACCCGGGCCTGGGGCCTGGGCGGGGCGTGCCCTGCGGCTGCCGGCCTGGGGCCACGGTCACGGTCGCCAAGGCAGCCCTGGTGTTTCTCTCACACCAGATGGAAAATAGCCGTTGGCTTGAACAGTAGACGGTTCTGACATTTAATGAAGTGTCTTTTCCCTCAAACACAAAGACCGACCGGTTTAAAGTACGAGAAGGCCAAGGAGTGGAGGGTGCCGTGCGTGAACGCCCAGTGGCTCGGTGACATCCTCCTGGGGAACTTCGAGGCGCTGAGGCAGCTCCACTACGGTCGCTACACGACGTTCAACCTGCAGGAGCCCTTTGCCCCGACCCCGCACCTGGTTTTGAATCTTCTGGGTAAGCGGGCGCACACGTCGGCAGATGGATCGGTGCAGGTGTCACACGTGCGTCCGCCGCCTTCACTTGCCGCCTTCTCTTTCTCCTGGGCCCCTCCCCGCAGCCTGCTCCTTCCCTGCCCGGTGGTTCCCGTGGGTGTGGTGCTCACGCTGCCCTCTTACTAGATGCTCGCAGACAGGAGCACTGCGGGCCTCTTCCGGCCGGCCTCCCCGCCAGCCCTCTCACGCGGCCGCCTGCACGCCTTCAGCTGTGGGCCAGCACCGCCTTCTCCCCTCTGCCCTTGCTGGGCGGGGGCAGGCCTGTGCGTGTGGCTGCTCGTCCTGGGCTGCGCTGTGACACTCGGCGGAATGCTCCAGAAAGCGCCCGTTCAGACGGCTTCCACAGGCTGTTTCCAAAATGTTCATTGAGCTGAGTTTTCTGATGGCTCGTCCTCAAGTTAAGCCACAGTCTGCTTCCCGGGGACACATCTGCCCATTTGACTTGAGCTCTGGAAGCCTTACAAAGACTTTGTCGTCGGTCCTTGAAGCCGTCACCGCGGGCATCGTGCAGGGAGGTGTGCTGGTCCTTTGTGCAGGCCGGGGATGGCCGGGGAGGGGCTTCGCTCTGACCCCCGTGCTGCGCCTGGTCCTCGAGCTCCTCGCCCAGGGAACCCCAGTACCTGAGCCCTGAGCACATGCCGCAGCTGCTTGCTGCCCTTCCTACGTTGTACTGAAAGCATTGTGTCAATGTAAGCGTAGCGCTTAGGTTTGTCCTTAGTGAATGTCCGCTAAGCGCCCACGCCACCAGCCCCAGGAGAGGGCGTCACCAGTGGGCTTGTCTGATTCAGCAGTATATTGTCCTAAACACAACCCGTTTCCCTCTAGATGCCTGGAGGGTCCCGCTGAAGGTGTCGGCGGAGCTGCTGATGGTACGTGCTGCCCTGGCCCGGCGCCTCGCGCCGCCCGTCTTACAGGAACGCGGTAGGCAGTCGTGTGTGTACACTCAGAACTCCCCGAGTGATCTGTCGGCATAAAGAAGGCAGGCTGTGTTCTCCCCTGTCGTGGGCGTGCGGCACACTCTGGGTCCCTGTCCCTCAGTCGCTGGTACTGTCGTTGCTCTTGTGTCTGTGGGGAGCATGGCCCGCCCGGAGGCCTGTGAGCTGCTCGAGGCGCTTCAGGGAGAGAGCAGGGACGGGTACACGCAGGGCGGGGGCCCCCTCACCGTGGGGTCGTGTTCGGATCCCGGGTGGGGCCCGGCCCTGGGGCATGAGGCCGGATGCCAGTGGCTGTTGGCTCAGAAGTAAGGCCTGGCGGCCTTCCTGGAGGGGCCGTGTGCACCTGCGTCTCCCCGTGATGGCGGGACACGGTCTCCGGTTTCCCGTGTCACAGCAGCAACGACGCTGAGGAACTCCTGTCTGCACCGTGGCTGATGTGCCTGCGCCGTGCTGGCAGCGCTCTCGATGCTGGCGGCCGTGAGGTGTAGGGCTTTAGGGTATCAAACACCCCTGCGTTCTTACTAAGGGTCTGAGTCACGTGCCCGCTGATTTTCAGCACCCGCCTCGGTGCCACAGAGGCAACTAGGGTTTGTGTCCCGTGAGCAGTGAGCCGAGGGGAGCCCTCCTGTCGGGGCCACCAGGCAACATCCAGCCTGTGTACCCAGATGACCCGCCCTGCTTGCTTTCTGCCCCTGACCCGGGAGCTGCTGAGACCTGTCCAGAGCCCTGCGGGGGCCTGTGGGCCGACAATCACACGCTCCCGTGTTTGCTCTGCTGAAACCCCGAATTCTGGTTTTCATAAAGCACGGCCGCCTCTGACACATGAGCAGAAGCAAAGATCCTGACTCAGTTGGCGGGGAGCGAGGTGGTGGTGGCCTTTGGGGCAAAGGTGGGAAAGCGGTCACGTTCCACCCGTCCCCCCACGTGACCCCAGGGACAGCCGGTTCTCCCACGGATTCGTGTCTGTGACCTCAGAGCCGCCGGCGTTAGGGACTCAGGGGCCGGTTTACCTTTGTTCCTCATTGCCGCCGACGTGCAAAGTTTGGAGACTGCGGAGCTGAGGGTTGTGTCTTTGTTGGGTGAGGGTCAGAGGAGGGAGAGCCCGGCCCTGTGCCGGACGGACTACATGCCTCCTGTATTTGCTGGGGACACACTGACCTTGCGTTTGGTTGTCTGGATACGGCAGCGGGGTTGAGGGAGTGTGAACGTGAATGCACAAGACAGACGCGGTACAGCACGGGAAACGCACGCGGGGCGGCCCGGGCCCCTGCTGTGCTGCTCCGGCCCGGCTGGCGGTGCTGCGGTGCGTCGGGGACGCGTTTGTGAGCCGCCACAGGCCGCGTTTCTGCGGGAGGAGCAGCCGCGTCGTGGGGGCGTAATTGCAGGGAGCGTGTTTTCCAATTCCCGCGTCGGGACAGCAGCTGACACAGGAATGAGTGCGGCCATGTGGGAGCCGGGACGGGGGGCCAGGCAGGTGACAGGCCCCCGGCAAAGCCCCCTTGCCCCTGGCCGGCGTCCTCCTCGCTGCCGTCCAGGCACCGGCTGGCCTCCCCGCGGCGGACACGTGCGGGGCCGACTGACGCGGACGCCGCTTTGATTCCAGGGCGTGAGGCTGCCTCCCAAACCGAAGCAGAATGAGGTGACCAACGTGCAGCCTTCTTCCAAAAGAGCCAGGTACGGGCGCCCTTCCCGCCGCTACGGCTGGGGTTCTCCGCAGGCCTCGGTCCCAGCGGGGGAGGCTTCTGAACGTTTTCACAGAAGGTAGGATCCACTCCTTGTTGTTCCACAGCTTGATCGTGCCGCGCGCGTCTCATTGCCGGACCTGAGAGGTGAACACAAGTCTTGCTCCTTAATAAAAACAAAACTTTAATTTTTAAATTTATTTTTATTATTTCTAAATTTACTCATTTTTGAGAGTGAGAGAGACAGAGCAAGCAGGGGAAGGGGAGAGAGAGAGGGAGACACAGAATCCGAAGCAGCTCCAGGCTCTGAGCTGCCAGCACAGATCCATGCAGGGCTTGAACTCACGAACCACAAGATCATGACCTGAGCCAGAGTCAGACGCTTAACTGACTGACCCACCCAGGCGCCCTGAACCTTTTTATTTCTAAGCAAAGCCGCGCCAGCACCGCGTCCCTGGTGCGTGCACAGCAGGGCCAGAGCCCCCGGATGGACGTGTGCGGCGGCGGCCGTCTATCCTGCAAACCCCTGGCTGGCCAGGGCGGGTCATTTGATTCGTAGGGCAGGGCAGGTGCAGGGCAAGCAGGGAGCTTTCCCTTCCTTCTTGAGTCTGAAAGCCGTGACCTCCGAGCTGGACTTGGTGAGGCACAGGGGACCGGCCCTGGCTGTCCTTGCAGTCACCAGCTTCCCTCGCCTCGCCCCTGCCCTGCATCAGGCCCGTTGCACCCCCTATATCATGGTCTGTGTTCCGGAAGCGTTTAGGAACGTCTTGGTCATGTGATGACGTATCTTTAAAATGGCTATCAAAGTGCCACAAATAAGCCTTAAAAAATTATTTTACCTAAATGGCCTCAAACGTAGCTATGTAGAAATGAAATGAGGTCTCATTTAAAGTGTGTGCTTAAGTCAGTGGCTTGCTCCGTGCCTTCTGCTGTACGGGCAGGGGCGGGTGCCTGCGGGAGCACGGGCCCGCGAGGGACGCCTCCCCCGGCAAGCCAAAGCACCTGCTTGCTCTTGTGAAAGCCTGTGGAGACCTTTGTGATGGGGGGAGGGACAGTGAGGAAGAGGGGGTGCGCCCAAGCTCCTCGGTCTCCAGGGTGACCGCCTAAAGGCAGGAAGGTCAGGTGCCTCGTGCTTTCCCCTCACAGAAAAACCCCCACACGCTTCAAGCCCTGAAAGCCTGTGCAAGCTATTAGAGTCTGTTGTTTGCTAACCGACATTTTTGAGTAAGCGATAGTCACTTGTTTATTCTGTATTTATTTTACAGAATTGAAGATCTACCGCCTCCCACAAAAAAGTTAACACCAGAATTGACCCCTTTTGTGCTTTTCACTGGATTCGAGCCTGTGCAAGTTCAACAGTATATTAAGGTGAAAGGGTAGTGTACATTCAGGGGATTTAGTGCTCTTCCTGTGTGCACGTGCTTGCTTTAGCTCGCGGTGTGTCAGGGTAACACCAGCAACATGCGGTCATGGTCGTCTTCGTGGCGTACGGTTAGGAAGTAGCAGTAGTCATTTCTGTAGTCAAGTTGTCATTAAACCGTACGTGACTTTTCACCTCGCTCTGTGCTTTTCATACTTGTACATTTAGACACTTGCCTTCTTAGCAGTAGAAAATACAACTTGGGTGAGTAGACCAGGACCCACTTGTACAGTCCTGTGAACGCGAGCAACTGCTCGAATGTGCTCGGCCCAGACGCCCTGGCACCCAGTTCTGGGCAGGCGCGGGGCAGCCGCGTGCTGGTGCTCGGGCAGGAACGGGGGACACAGCCGTCCGTGCGCTTCTGAAGTAACAACAGCACAAGGGCGGGTTCTCACCCTGCTGTCGTTCCGGTGGGGGGGGGGGGCGTCAAGGGTGATCATCGGCCTGTGTCACGTGGGCTTCGTTCATTGTACCTCTCGGGTTTTTAAGGAGAACAGTTATAAATGCCGCCATTTTAGTACGGTTTAATTTCTTTACTTTAAAAATCGAGTGTAGTTACCGAGGTCTTTTCTAGATGCTCATGTCTCCTCAGGCACTTCTGCTGTAATTTTTATAAACAGGGACTCTGTTAATGCACCTCATTAACACCCATTTCAGCTTCGAAAGTCTGGGCGTGGTCACGCCTTTTCATGAAATGTGCTGCCTTGTTCTCCGGACATGCACCCGGGCGCTGTGTGCGCCGTCTCCCAGCTCAGGCCGGAGCAGTGCGCCGTGCTGTCGTGCGGCCCCACGCTCACCTCCGCTCTGTGCCCCTCCCTCCAGAAGCTCTACATCCTCGGGGGCGAGGTCGCCGAGTCTGCGCAGAAATGCACACACCTCATCGCCAGCAAAGTGACACGCACGGTGAAGTTCCTGACGGCCATCTCCGTGGTGAAGCACATTGTGACGCCCGACTGGCTGGAAGAGTGTTTCAAGTGTCAGGCGTTTATTGGTACGTAGCGGTGGCTGCCGCTCCTTTTTAATGTGGAAAACCAACATTTGTTTTCTCCAGTTTCTCTCCACCTCCATCCCAACAAACCCCTCGTTTGCTTTTTTCCCTCTTGATGACTCAGTAAAATTTATAAATTGCTTCCACATGCCAGCGAATCATCTGGGGGTCCACACACTGAGGGAAACGGGGCCTCTGCCTCTCTGCTTGCGGCTCCAACGCGTGTGCTCCGGTGCGATGCTCACGTGCAACGTGCGGTAAAGGGACAGCATCCCGGCACGGCTGTGACTGCGGGCGCCGGCCGAGGGCTGGCCGTCCGCCCAGGTGGGCACGCTTAGAGCAGCAGAGAGCGCCCAGGCTTGTTAGGCGGATCAGCAGCAGTGCGAACGCCCTCCTCCCTGGTGTGGTGGTGTGGTGCTCCCAGCCCGCACACCCCCACACGCACAGCCTGAGCCCTCTCCCCGCGGTGCTGAGACTCCGCTCCCTCGGGGCCCACGCCCCATCACGTGGCATCAACAGCAGTCACCAGCTCCCGCCCCCCGCCCGCCGCATCGGGGCATACCCACTCCGGGTTTTTTTCCGCAGCCCCCTGCCCCCTGCACTGGGCTCTCCTCCAGCTTCTCAGCCGCACCTGCCTGCTCGCCCCTGGGGTAGGGGTGACGCGGATGCACCAGGCCAGCAGACCTTCCGGTCCTCCCTGCCCTCACGCTCTGACCTGACTTAGCCCTGATGGGGACAAGTCATCATATTGCAGGTCCACATGGTTTTCTCAGCCACTGGTATTTAAACCTGATTCAGTCTTTCCTGTAAAAAAACTAATAGAAAGCATGTATATTTTAAAGTTCACACAGTCTAATACACAGATGAGAAATAGGATCCAGCAGACACTCAGGTTTGTTGATTTTAGCAAAGCTAAACCAAACTTAAAGTTTCATGATGTTCTATCCAAGTCAGTCATAAGAAAGAACCATTTATGTGAAAATCAATAATGAAGAAGACCTCTGAATTCTCAACTACGATAGTAGAGTCGGTGCCCATCATTCCTGGGGCTCCGGCCTGCAGAGCGGCTTCCGACACCGGGTTCCTGAGCACGGAGCCATCGCTCCCAGAGGAAGCAGGGCCAGGCTCCTGTGAGTCTCCGGTCCTGTCCCGTCGGCCGATCCGTACGCACCCTCGTGTGCAATCTGGAAAACCTCGTTCTGCGTGTGCGCAGTGTGAAGAGCCCGTGTTAACACCTGCTCTTGGCCCCTCACACCGAGCGCCTGGCCGGCCGCGCATCACTGACACTGAATGAGGCCTCCGGGTCCCGTGTGGCCTCTTCCGGGAGTGCGGGTGTGCTCGGCGCTGGGGCCTGTGAGACCAGGGTCCCCAGCAGAGCATGAATGTGTGGGAGGATTCACACTACACAGACCACAGAAAGGAACCTGTGTCTGGTGTGGCCTGATGGAGGCCCGGCGTGGCCCTGCTCTCTGGGCTGTCCCCACCGTGCACGTCTCTGCGGGCGCTGCGGAAGCTTGGCGGGAAAGCTGTGGCAAGTGGCCAGACTCTCAGATGCAGAGTCCACAAGTAACGAGGTCAACTGCAGAGGCTTTCCATTGAAATTCTTGCTTTTGTTCTTAAAAGATGTTACTGAAATAACAAACGCAGGCAGAAGAAAACGTCTGTAGAAACAATTAAACCTAGAGATTAGCTCCCAGTTTTTGGTAAGAGTTGTAAAATTTAGGAGACGGGTGCTTCCTTAAGTGAAATTTGAGTTGCTTGAGTTCCCAAGTTTGCCAGTTTGTGACTCATGGTGGTTCTGTCTTTTTATCAAGTTTACAGCATTTCCTACGTCACCCAAGTTTTGGTTGACGGTCTTGTTGCTCGTATAACTGTTGATCTCCGAGGGTTAGAAGGGGGCTTAGTTGTGGTGTACACGCTTACGTGTTCTGTAGTAACTATTCAGACATGTCACATTTGAGCTCCACGTTTCCAGACACGAGAATTTTCCCACTTTATAAAAATGGCCTTCTCTAGACATCCCACAGTTGGACTCCTACAGCACGTGTCCTCCTCAGAGTGGGTGGCTTTTGTCACTTCATGACACGCACGTAAGCCTCCTGCCTGTCCTCTCCTCGCTTCACAGCTCCTCCCTGTTTGGCGTTGAACAATGTTCCATTGTCCGAATGGACCACCGTTTATCTGTTCACCTACTGAAGGGTGTCGTGGCTGCTTCTAAGTTCTGAGAATTACGAATACCGCCACTGCCGTCACTCGTGTAGCTTGTGTGTGGATGTGCATTTTCAACTCCTTTGAGTCAATGCCAGGGGTGGGATCGCTGGACTGTATGGAAAAAGTATGTTTGGCTCTGTTAGGAAACCACCAGGCTGCCTTCCAAGCTGGCTGCCCCGCTTTGCCTTCCCGCCAGCACTGGAGGAGAGGTCCTGCTGCCCCGCATCCTTGCTGGCATTTGCTGTTGTCAGGGTTTGGAATTTCCACCATTTTAGCGGCTGTCGAGGGGTGATCTCATTGCTGTAATTTGCACTTCAGTAACACTATCTTCTGTGGTGCCATGTCCGTTTAGATGTTTTGCCCATTTCTTTTTTTTTTTTAATTTTTAATGTTTTTTTATTTATTTCTAGGAGAGAGAGAGATACAGCGTGAGCAGGGGAGGGTCAGAGAGAGAGGGAGATACAGACTCTGAAACAGGCTCCAGGCTCTGAGCTGGCAGCACAGAGCCCGACGCGGGGCTTGAACCCACGAACCGCGAGATCATGATCTAAGCGAAAGTCGGATGCTTAACCGACTAAGCCACCCAGGCGCCCCTGTTTTGCCCATTTCTTTTCTTTTTTTTTTTTTTTTTTAATTTTTTTTTTAATGTTTTATTTATTTCTAGGAGAGAGAGAGACAGACAGCGTGAGCAGGGGAGGGCCAGAGAGAGAGGGAGATACAGACTCTGAAACAGGCTCCAGGCTCTGAGCCGGCAGTCAGCACAGAGCCCGATGCGGGGCTCGAACCCACGAACCGCGAGATCATGACCTAAGCGAAAGTCGGATGCTTAACCGACTAAGCCACCCAGGCCCCCCTGTTTTGCCCATTTCTTAATTGGGTTGTCATCTTACGAGGTCTTGGTATATTTTATATGGCAGTCCTTTAATCAGTTGTGTCTTTTGGAATACTTTCTCCCAGTGCGTGGCTTGTCTTCACGTGTTTTTGACATTGTCTTTCACAGAGCAGAAGTTTTCAATTTTATTTTTTAAATTTTTTTAACGTTGAGAGAAAGAGCGAGTAGTAGCAGGGAACGGGCAGAGAGAAAGGGAGACACAGAATTGGAAGCAGGCTTCAGGATCTGAGCTGTCAGCACAGAGTCCAACATGAGGCTCGAACCCACGAACTGTGAGATTGTGACCGGAGCCAAAGTTGGACGCTTAACCGACTGAGCCACGCAGGTGCCTCAGAAGTTTTCAGTTTCAATGGAGTCCAGGTTATCAATTATTTCTTCCATGGATCGTGTGTTTGGTGTTGTATCTAAAGTCATTGCCACATTCAGGGTCATCCAGATTTTTCTCCTCTGTTCTAGGAGATGTATGGTTTGTGTTTACACTGAGGCCGGTGATACACGGAGAAGGCTGTATGGTCCGTGTCTAGATTCAGTGTCTTGCATGTGGACGTCAGTTGTTGGAAAGACGACCTTCGCTCAGTCATACTTACTGCCTTTTTGCACCGTTGTTAAAAACCAGTTTAACCGTTTCTCTGCTCTGTCTCTGGGCTTCTCTCCGTTGGTCTATTTGTTCTTTCTCCAGCGCCACCCGGTCTTGATTGCTGGGGCGTTGAGGTCGGTCAGTGGCAGCCCCCCTGCGTCCCCACCCTTCAGTGTGGGGCTGGCTGCCCTGGGCCTTTGCCCTCCCTGTAAACTTCAGGGTCACTTCGTTGGTACATGTGAATGGTTTGTGTTTAATACATATTTTAAAACATTTCCCTTTGCCAAAAGTTTAAGTTTCTCCAGAATAGTGACCTTAGGTTATCTGGAGTAATTACTACCTGAATTTTTGCTTTCAGATTCATTTCCTTGATCCAACTTTTAGCTTTTTATGGATTTTTTTATAAACATGTTTGGCTTTTGAATTAGAATCTTTTGCACTTTTTTTTTAAACAATCCCCAAGTTACCAAACAGCTGCAGGTATAGTCAGATGGCTGCTCTCTCCCGCACCGTCACGCCTGACCACGTGCGTGTGGCCCACGGAAGAGGACTCTGCCTGACGGCCCGGCGCAGCCCTCGAAGTCGGGGTCTGCTGCCGCGGTCTCGCCGCAGACCTCATTGGGCTCTGCCTGGTCGTCCCAGCGATGTCCTTCCCTAAAGCGGGGGGTGGGGGACCCACAGGCTAGGGCGCTCGTGACGCTACTGGGTCATTACTGCAAACTGAGGGAGGCGGGCTGTCCTGCCGTGAGGAACCTGTGTGAAGCTTCAGATGCTTTGTGATCTTTCCATTTTCTTAAAACATGACCTGAGAAGTCTGAGGAAGCATGAAAACCCCCCAAATCCTGTAAGCTGTGCGGAGCCGTTCTAAGGTGCTGCACACGGTCATATGTTTAAAGAGAGTACGTTTTTGCTAACGGGCCATCACGTCACGGAGTCTGGGACTTGGGGTGTTTCACACGCATGTCGGGGGTGACGCTGGTTCCGAGCTGGTCGCTCTGGTCCCCGTGAACTCCCTGAAACGGTGCGCAGTGGTGGCGGGGAGGGGCCCCTACCGCTCCGTCCATCTTCTCCGAAGCACTGTGAACCCGGAGGTCAGGACCCAGCGTGTAGCAGCAGCCCGTCCTTCATCTGCTCTGGCTGTTTACGGGGCACAGCGACAGGTGATGGCGACGGGTCAGAACTCATAGCTTCGCGGGGAAACTGAGCCTCGGGCGACGGGCACCTGGCTGGCGGCGAGACTTCCGGGGCGGATCGCATGCCCTGGGTTCCCGAGTCTGCACTCTGTTGAGTGGGCGGCTCTTGTCTTCCAGATGAGCAGAACTACCTCCTCCGCGACGCCGAGGCCGAGGTGCTGTTCTCCTTCAGTCTGGAAGAGTCCTTGAAGAGGGCGCATGCCGCTCCGCTCTTCAAGGTACGCCTGGAAGGGGACCGTCCCCGTGGAGTTCCGGTGGCACGGCTGGAGGGGACACACCCGGTGGGGGGAGGGGGGCCGTGCACGTCCCAGGGTCCCTGCGGCATCCGGAGCCCCGTGCCCTGCTGTCCTTCAGCGCGATGCACCTGGGCCGTCAAAGGGCATCGTGAAGAATGATTTAATTGGTGTGAGACATTTAAGTTGATTTTTCTGCTTTTAACAAATCTGCGCTGCGTGACGCTCTTCTCAGTAAACGCACGCTCAGCTGGAGAGGAAGATTCTTGGGAGGGTATTAGTCGAGTGTGTGTGCGTAACTCAAGACGGAAGGTCTTTAAACATCTGTTATAAGCCACCTTGCTACAAACCCCTGTGGAAGCTGCTGTTCTTACACTTAAGGAACCAGCTGAGGCAGGAGCCTGCTGCCAGGGCGCATCTCCCCCGAACCGACAGAGTTTTCCAGACGTTAGTTCTTTTCTTACAAGCAGTTTAAAACCGTGCTTCACGAGATGCCTGAGAGCAGAGGCGCGGGGAAATTGAATCTTAACCGTCAGAATCATCTCCTAGTCGGAGCCCCAACCCGGCGCAGGCAGTGGAAGAGAGTACAGGCGCCGTGCCTGCCTCTCGTCTCAGACGAGGGCGGACGGTATGCTGCTAACTCAGAATTCTGCCGAAAGGGAGAAGTGCTTACCCTGTTCCCCCTGATCCCCCAGTTCTTCACGGCTGTTAGGAACGTCCGTTCCACTCACTTTCACTCCCCACAGGTGGAACCTGACACAGGAGACGCTGTTTTGTTCCGGACTCTTCCCTCCAGGCCCATTTCCGGCGGGGGGCTTCTGGGGGGCGAGGGTACGTCCGTAACCTCACGAAACCGCACATTTTCTCCGAACCCTCAGGGTAGAATTTATGAAAAACGCCATAGCCTGACGATTCAGAGTGCACTTTCCTTCTGTGTTTAGGCAAAGTACTTCTACATCACGCCTGGAATCTGCCCGAGCCTGTCGACCATGAAGGCGATCGTGGAATGTGCGGGGGGAAGAGTATTGTCCAAACAGCCGTCGTTCCGGAAGCTCGTGGAGCACAAGCAGAATAAGGTGGATGGAAGGAAAATGAGCCGACTCCTCGCCGCCCCGATGAGCGTCACTGGTCGATGACCGATAAACTCCCTTTCTTTTCCCAGAGCTTGTCAGAAATCATCTTGATATCCTGCGAGAACGACCTGCACTTGTGCCGGGAGTACTTCGCCCGGGGCATAGGTACGCGGGTACAGGCTGGGGCCGTGGGAACGCGCGTGGCGCCGCCGCCGTCCTCATGGTCCACCCCCTGTCTTTCAGACGTCCACAACGCGGAGTTCGTGCTCACCGGAGTGCTCACGCAGACGCTGGACTATGAGTCATATCCTTTTTCTGGAAGCGGCTCTGGGCCGAAGCCCTGTCCCCACAGGCTCGGAGCAGGACGGGCCCGGGGGTTCTGGCCCGAGTCCATCAGGGAGGCCGACTGGACGCTGCCCGGGCCGTGAGCACCTGCCTTCATAAAGTCCGGGCTCACATATCTTTTCCAGACTTTTCTAAACCGTCGTAAATGCCCAGTCTGTGCCACCTTGACTCTCGGAAAGAAGAACTGCCTAGAAGTCAGCTGGGTGATTTGTGGGAGACCCCTCGGAGGCCTGGTTTCCTGTCAGGAGACAGAACGGGGCCTGCCTTGTGGCTGAGAGGGGCCCCCGGCACCCTCCGCGGGGTCGCCCCGCTGGCTCCGGCCGAGCCCACTGCAGAGAGGCTGGGGTGTGTGGGCCGTGGGAGTCTGCGGGGCGCGGGGAAAGCCCCCCGGGATCCGGACGGGCAGCAGGCCTGGCTGGTGCAGGCGGGTCAGGAAACGGGCTCAGGGGTCTGCTAGACGGCCCCGGTCGCCAGCTGGCCAGAGTTGGGGTCCCGGGGCTCTTACCTTGCCTCGTGTCTGAAGCGTGTTTTCCTCAACAAGCCTACCTATAAATTTAACTGATGGGACCTGCGCGGTGACTGGAGTCCCGGCCGCGCCGCGCAGGACAGACCTGCTTCCTGCAGAGGCCGGCGTGTGAGCGGGAAGACGAGTAGATCATCTATGCTGCATCTCTTTAAGATGTGTGATTTTATTCTGAGGAAACATAAATTATGTTGTGTAATATATGAATTTATGAGCCCACATTAGGTTTTATGATTCATTTGCCAGGTTTTTAAAATGTTTTCACAACACTGTTAACAGAATTTCAGCTACAAATAAAATGATGTAAATAAAAACCTTGCTATCTCTAAATTATGGATGTTAAAGATTTGAAATGTTTTGTACTTTGATTATTTTTATTTCTTATACTTTTTTCTTTTATATTGATATCTTGCCCACATTTTAAATAAATGTACTTTTGAACTTAGAATTTATTCTGGGTTTTTGTGGGTTTTTTTTGCATTATTTATAGGATTTACGTCAAACCGTATCACATTTTACGTAATTGCTAGAGAAAATACATTCTGAGTTTTCTCCCAAAGAAATAACGTCTGGAAGGCAGCCATTCTCTGCCAGTGTAACAGCCCCCAAGCAGAGGTTTACCCAGAACACTCAGCAGTCCCTGCAGCACAGGCGCCGGCCCGACCTTTGACACCATATATCCGTCCTGCTCGCACCCACACGTGGCTCCCACACCCTGTTGGATTGTGGGTACAATAACGAGAGACCACTGCCTTAGGAGTCAGTCCGTCCTAACACATTTTGTACGCTGCCCTCCCCAGTGCAGGGGTGTGTCAAGCAGCACCACCCCAGGGCTGCTCTTACCACGTGCATCTGGGGTGTTCAGAATTTGCTTCCGTAACGGTTTCTGAAATGTCTTCCTAGAAAGAGTTGTGACCCCCTTGATGGTTTATTCTTTGATTGTACAGCCTCTACAGTTGAATTCCTGAACTCGGTTTCGGTGGAACACCTGCATTAAAAACGTGAACGCAGAATGAACTCACTTCCATGTTGGGAATTCCCAGTGCCCCCGTAGGGCTTGCTTTGGTGACGGTCACACACAGGACGCCATTTCCCAGTGTTCGCTCTGCTGGGGTGGGACCACGCAGAGCCCCTACAGATGAGGGGAGGTCACCACACGCTTCATAGCTTTAAAGTGTATGGGTCAGTGTCTTCAAGTGATTCTCCCCCGTCTAGCCCTCGACCTTCTGTGTGATTTCCCGGCGACCTGCCCAGTCACCGTGTGGGCACACCCTCAGTCTTGGCGTGACCAATGGATTTATTGTCCACCACAAGTGTTTACCTTGAGCTCTTTAAGCATGCCTTAAAAGCAGTGCATATCCTGGTATTTACTTGTATTTCTAACAGATTTTTAACAAAAGGTGCCTGCTTTTAAGCTAATGATTTTGTATATAAGCAGACTTAGAAATACTTACCTGCCTGGGCACCTTAGTTGGTTAAGCGTCTGACTTGACTTCAGGTCACGATTTCATGGTTGGTGATTTCAAGCCCTGCATTGGGCTCTGTGCTGACAGCGTGGAGGCTGCTTGGGATTCTCTCTCTCTCTCTTTCCTTCTCTCTCTCAAAACAAAAAAGCACCTGTAGAATCAACCATTCCCTCTCACATGCCATAGTTGGAATGTGTGTCACTACGAACTTGGATTCTATAAAATCTTGAAAGGGAAGCAGCATTTCATAATTGAGAGCGCGATTTCGATTCTGAACACCACCTCCTGCTTCCATGCCCAAAAGCCAAGGTGCAGACAGAGCGTCCTGCATCCGTCCAGTCTACAGCAGAGACAGCGTCTGGTTAAGCAGCAAGTATGACTGATTTGACTAACCTTTCAATTAGTGTTTTTTTCCAAAAGCTGCCAAGAAATAATCCTTAAACACCCCAGGAGCTGTCTGCGGCCAGCTGGCTCGCACAGCTGCTGAGCACGGATTTGGCGGCTCAGGAAGCTCCCCATGAATGTGTAAGAATAGAGACTTCAGGTAGATGCTTCCTACAGAAGTTGATTAGAAAAGTTATTTCCTCATAAGAAAAGGAAGTCTTAATTCTGTTTTGTCTGTCTCAAGGTTAACAGGAATGACATGTGCAACTGAAAATTCCTAGTAGCCACATTAACATTTAAAGAATTTTTAAAGGTTTGTAATTGTATGTAACACCAGTCTATCTAAAATACCGTTCCAGCTACAAGTCATCAACATTTTAGAAAATTATTGCGACGGGTGGGTTTTTGGTGCTGTCTTTAAAATGCATTCTATATTTTATACTTAGGGCGCATCTCAATTCTGACAGTAAATTTGCATTAGAAATATTTTCTCTAGGGGCACCTGGGTGGCTCAGTCAGTTAAGCGTCCGACTTCGGCTCAGGTCATGATCTCACGGCTCGTGGGCTCGAGTCCTGCGTCGGGCTTTGTGCTGACAGCTCAGAGCCTGCTTTGGATTCTGCGTCTCCCTTTCTCGCAGCCTCTTTCCCACTCACACTCTTTGTCTCTTTCTCTGAAAAATAAACATGAAAAAAATTTAAAAAGTATTTTCTCTGTATTTCGATTTCATACCACTTATGGCTTAAAAAGATGTGCCCACGTTACTCTAAGCAGGAATGTTTTCCAGCAACAAAGTTAGTGCCCATTTTTAAGTTAAAGCTAACGCTAAATAAGATGAAAACTCAGCTCCTCACCTACACGAGTTCATTTCCGTGCCCGGGGACCAAGCGTGGCTGTCGCGTCTGAGGGGCCGGCAGCCCCCTGTGCGGGCTCCCTTTGGCACTGCGAGTGCCGGTGAGGAGGTGGACGGTCCATCTGCGAAGCTTTCAAGATTGCTTCTCTGCGTAGAGTCCCTGGAATTCCGTTCCCTGCCACAGACGGATCACCAAAGGGGTGTCCGCCTGGGTAGGTGCGGGGAGTCGGGAAGTGGAAGAAAGCCTGCGCATCCTCGCGGTCATCGGGAAAGGATGGACATGTTTTAATCCCCATCTGGTGACTGCAGAAAGAACGGCTAAGGGGGACCGGCTGCACGATGACACATCTTCAAACCCCGTGGCTTGCAAGTGATCAAGGCCCCTGGAAACGGCCCAGAGACGGGAGGCAAAGCCCCCCAACCCAGGTGCCCGCGCTCCCAGGAAGCCCTCCAGAGTCCCCGGCGTGCGCCGAAGTAAAAAGTGTGCAGTTAGCGTCTGCGAATCGGCTGCTTCTGCACACCGCTGCCGACTGCATCCCCACGTCTGTTCCATCCGCCGCCGCACGCCGTGCAGGCCCCATCCCTGTTCTCGTCACACCCGCCGCTGACGGCCACCCCAGACTGCCGTGGCGGCACGTCCCCTCTGGCTGTCCCCTGCCTCACCGCCTGTCCGCACGCCCCCCGCCCCGTCGGCTGCTGACCCGCACAGATGGTCACGTCTTTCCTTCCCCCTTCCCGCCAGCCTCATCTCCTTGCTTCCTGTCTCTTCCCCTCCCCTGCCCTCCGGTCGCACAGTCCCGCTAAGGAGAAAGTGCCGCTTGAAGTCCTGATGCCTGTGACGTCCCCACCCAGCCCCTTGGCCCGTCGTTCCCATCGGCCGCACACAGCTGCTCCCGCTGCTCTGGGCACAGGGCCCCCCCCCGCTCTGTCCGGCAGCCTCCCCTGCCCCCTCCCCTGCACAGCCTGTCCTGCTTCCCTCCGATCCTGTGTCAAAAATGCCTTTGAGGCATGCGCTTGTCTGCATAAGCAATAAAGCAGAAACTGGTAAAAAAAAAAAAAAAAAAAAATTAAAACCTTTTGGGTGTCAAAAGAAACAACGAACAGTGAAAGGGCAACCTGCTGAAGGAGAGAAAACATTTGCCAATCCTGTGTCAGACAAGGAGCTCCAACCTAGAGGATATAAAGACTACAATTCCGCCGCAACAGAAACCCTGAATTTAAAGTGGACGAAGGACTTGAATAGCTCTTTCTCCAAAGATGAATGACCAGTAAGATGCTCGGTATCCCTCGTCATCAGGGAAATGGGAATCACAGCCGCAGTGAGACACCCCTCACACCCGTCAGATGGCTGCTATCAAAAATAAAAAGAAGAAGAAGAAGAACAAGGATGTAGAGAAGCTGGCCCCTTCGTGCGCTGCTGGTGGGAACGTAAAGTGGTGCAGCCGCTCTGGAAGACAGCATGGAGGGGCCTTGAAGTTTAAAAATAGAACAACCATAAGATCTAGCAATTCCCCTTCTGGGTATTTACCCAAAGGAATTGAAAGCTCGGTCTTTGTGAGGCATTTACACACCCACGTCCATAAGCAATAGTATCCACAGTAGCCAAAGTTGGAAGCAACCCGTGTCCATCTGCTAATGACAGATAAGCAAAGCGTAGCCCGTGTGCCCAACGCAACGCTCAGCCTCGGAACTCTGACGCCTGCTACCACACGGGTCAGCCCCGGGGACACGGTGCGCAGTCAAATAAGGGAGTCACAAAGGGACAGATACTGGGTGAGCCCACTTCTGTGGGGTCCCAGAGCCGTCAAATCCATAGAGACAGTGGGGGGTGGGCATTGGGGGGGCTGGGGAGGGGCGGGAGTCGTGTTTCATGGGGACAGAGTCTCAGCTGGGGACAATGAAGTTCTGGCGATGACGGCAATGGTCACAGAACGAAGCAAATATGCTCAACGCCACTTAATCGTACTTAAAAATGACTAGCGTCGTAAGTTCCGTGTGTGTTTTACCACAGTTTTCAAAAAAGAAGAAGATGAAGGGCACCAGTTAAACCCATGAGGAGCGAAGCGGAGGTTGGGAGGCCGACCCTGAGAGTTCACCCTCTGGCCTTCCACAGACTTACACTGAACTCTCTTAAACCCGGTGGTTAGAACCGAACCCACACGTAGAATTAATTACAAGCAAATGCATCCGTGAGAATGTGCGCACGGGGCGGGGGGGTGGGGGGGCACGTCTGCGTATTTTTCTGTGGCTTCCCTCCCATCTGAAAAGGATTCTGACCCAGGAAAGATGAAAGACTTCCCATGTTAGAAACAGGAGAAGACAAAGCCCAGCAGATGGAGAAGTACTTCCGGAACAAGGATCTGTGAACATCTACTTCTCCATTTTACGGAGAACAGACACAAAGGCTCAATGCCACTATTTCAGACCATGGAAGCCTGAGCCGTTCCACCCACTGAGCCACGCGGGCTTGGGGCCTGGGTTTCAGAGCTCCTGGGCTGCTAAGTGATGCCGTCCAGAGCATTCTGGCGGGGGGGGGCCTGGAGGCCCCCGGGCGCTGGGGAAGCGCGGCCCGGGCAGACGCAGCAGGGACCGCGCGGAAGTGTGGCTTCCCTGCCTGTTGCTCACCTCACTCCACCGGATGAGGAACGGAAGCCCTGCGGGGAATGGGGGGGGGGGGGGCGGGACGGAGGGGGTCAGGTGCCCGGGGCTGCGGCTGTGCCACCTGCCCCGTC